AGAGGACCCGAACAAATTTACCGAGGATAAAAGTATCATTCCAAAAATACGTATAGTCGCCGTACATAGCGAATATATCGAGTGACCTAAATTCTTGTTTTTTTTTTCGAGATTCAATTTTTTTTAGAATTCAATAAATAAAAAAATTATAATTGTCCGAGCTTATTTCGAATAAATAGAAAAACAGTGGTTATCCGTATTCTGCAACAAATTCAATATTCAAATCAAGCATTCGGTATTATGCAGATTTCTATAGCTGGATATACCACGTGCCAAGATCATTGTTCAGTCGGGTATGCACGACTGTATAGAATAATATGGACGTCTATAGAATTTTGGAAAATCACTGAAATGCAACGAATGCAACGTAACGTGCAAATCGGCCGAATCGCGTTCCTATCTGTTGGATTGACGAGGAGTCCTACTCGTTTTAGTGTCAATTTTGAAATGTTCAGCTGACAAAAAATATATATATATAAATTCGAAATACAGATTGAAGTTGTCGATACTCTACGATGTAAAATCATGGATACTCGCGCGCATTTGCAAAGCTCGGGAGTAACAATGAAAAGACGAAGAAAAAAAAAGGTTTAATTAAACATTAATTGTTCGCACTGTACTTTAACAATGATACGATCGTTAAGAGTCATGTAAAGATGCGTACGCGTGTTGATCACGTTTTCAAGAGGTACCTTGAATGAGAATGAAAAATTATGTAAAAAAGAAATGCTTGGGTAACTGCGTATAAATAACACGTTGAATTACCATAAGAAGAATTCCGTTAAAATCACGCAACGTGAATAAGTAACAGATATATAGATATGAGCATGCGGTGATAGGTCGGACCCAAAATACGGCAATTTTATCCTGGCGTCTTAAAAAACGGAAGAAAAAAATTTCGAAATTCAAAATATATGGGCAATTAAAAAAAATGGAATTTTAAAAATTAAACGAAACCAGCCGATCCTTCAGCCTACTTTCGTAGCTCTGATCGAATCCTCCACGAGATTCAAGGAACCCGTTACTAGGTGTATAGGGCCCAACCGTTTGGGCCAGCTGAATAAAAAAAAAACACATATGGTACTTATGTCTTTTTTCTCTCTCTTTCATAGTCCCACTAGAGGAAACAGTTAACTCGATGTATCGGGTTGTTCCAGAATTCGTGACACAATTTACGTTCGTTCTCGTTGCGCGTCTGTTCGCCAGTATTGACGATAGTCGCCATAGACTTTTTACGTTCAGCCACGTCGATCCATAGAAAATCGACGAGTCATCGTGATGATTGTGATTGGTCATCATTTATTGTGTATGGGTATTTTTTTAAGACTGGGGGGGGGGGGGGGGGGGGGGGGGGGGGGGGGGGGGGGGGGGGGGGGGGGGGGGGGGGGGGGGGGGGGGGGGGGGGGGATTTCACTCTCTTCCTCTCTCTCTCTCAAATCTGTTAATTCTCTGATTTGACCATTTTTTTATATTTCTTATCCGTCTCTCTCGCACCCTCCCCCCCCGCCTCCATCAACCCAGTCAATCGCTTCCCCTATGACGTGTCACGTGCGGGTTAGAGAAACGTACGGGATGAGAAAAAACGCCTTAGAAACAAATTTGAAATTTTTTTGACCAAATTTAGAAAATCATACAGGTCCCGGAATGACGTATGAGGTTAATTATTGCGAATGACAAAAACAACCTGGGTGAAAATGAAATTTGACCCCAAAGGGATTAATAATGCCGATGTCAAATTTTACGTGCAAATTATAAGTTTACGATGATAAATCTATTTTTAGTATTTTCAACGATATTATTATTTTCGAAAATACTGTCAATATTTTTTGATTATGTGAAATACGATTTCGCGTCGAATAAAATGAAATCTGACGATATACTCATGTATTTTAAGGAAATTTTCATGTTTTTCGTAAAATCGATTTACATCGATACGAGTCGATAATTATACTCGCAGAGTCATCGAACGAGCAACTGCAATTTCATTGTGCAACCAGTCGAGCGGGTAATCGAGTGGATTTCTCGACGGTCAAGGCCTCCATTGGCAATTCATTGACAATGACGAATGACACGATGACGAAATCACTTGCTCCTTATACTTAGCTCGGAGTTACACAGTAAACAGGAAGTCGATGCTTTCGTCGATATTCGAAAGTTCCCCCGAGCGGTATTGACTTCCGGAAAGATCAGTGACGTCATCGCTCATTCATTATATTGAAATCGTGAATGTATGAGGATTATCAAAATTTGTCAAAAAAAAAATGTCTCCATTTCCATCACCGATAATTAGCTCGAGGTCAGGTATAAGATTCAAATTCGTCGAGCACTCAGTTGGTCAAATTTAATGTGCGATAAAAAAAATTTCATCCTTGTCGTTAATTAACGCCAAAGCAACATTTTAACGTGTGATGAGATTCACCGTTTAATTCGAATAATTACGCGCGGAGAGTATGAAAGAAAAGTAAACCAAGATCCAACCAGTGAGTCAATAGGAGAACGGAGAGAAATTCGGAAGCTGTAAAAGTGGACATCATCGATGATCTCGAGCTGGACCGTTTTCAATACCGTTAGGCTGTTTCATTCATTGTTGGTCCCAGATAGCCAGCGAAAGGTACGACCACCCGTTACTATACTTGCGTTACCTGTATTTGCCTTTGAGTTTGCAATACTTGACGCAGTTGAAAGAAAGAAATACAAGAAACAGATAAAAGTCGAAAACACGTCTCGTTTGCCTTGATCTCGTATTCCCTCATTGAGGCCACTGCACCCTTCTTACCATCGGTTCTATATACTGGGTAATGAATAAATCTAATAACGATTATTCTGTTTATAAGCTTATGTATTATAATAATAATAATGATAGAGATTAATAATAATAATGGCATACCGTGGCGATCGTACACTGCGAGGTGGTGAGAGATAAAAATTGAATTTGAAAAATCTTTTTTTGTGACGTAATATATTTTCTGGATTTACGATATTGATATATCGCTAGTAAAATCGATAAATCGGTTTTTCGCTATTGTTTTAAAATTCTACTTTACCTTCCGTGTCGTTATGTACGAAAGTTTACTCAACAAATGTTATTGGAATAAGTTTTTATTGTTTAGAGCGATCGATATATGGATCCTTCGAGTTTGCATAGCATTGCGAAGTCAGCCGCGAAGTGTTTCTCAAGAATTGTTGCTTGGAGAAAAGAGAAATTTTCGAGTTGCAAATATACATGGAACGAGTAAATATTGCTTAGTTTCTACGTAAAGGTGATATTAATAGTTTTTTAATTTTTCAATATTACCATAATTTTGGTTCTTATTCATTTTTATATCAAGGGTCATGTAAGGATTCACTTCCGTTTATTTACATAGACGTTGCTGGCGGCCATATTGGATTGTGGTTCGATTGAAATCCCAATTAAAGTGGAGCATGTGAGTTAAAAATTAATAACGAGGATAAAAATATTCATTTTTTAAATTACTTTTTCCAAACTTTCGTTATTTTTTAGATAATACTCGCGACTTGGTTATGTTTCTAAAGATCGATGATGTAAATAAAAATTTTATTGACTTTAGCCGTTGATTAACGAAAGCATGTTCTCATTAGAGTTACACGACGCTTGGAACAGGTTTGCTACTTTTTATTTTTTGTTCAAAAACATCCATCGGCTTAAATATTTATACGGAGGATATGTTAAAGCAATTAGGAATTTTCCAACACAGTCCCGAAATTTACATAACACGGTAATGTCATTCTAATTATTAATTCGATACGCTATAAATAACGATTTCTTGGGACACTAATTCTCGTTACAAAACTTTTCACAAGAATCCTGTCCATGTTTTGTCTAAGTATAGTTAAGAAATTCGAAATGTTTCGAGTCGGTCTGGACCCGAATTCCCAATTGGTCAAATTGCACTGAAATTTCAAAGTTACGGTTCACTTGTCAGTTTCGCGTAACTTGCCACTTAAAGACACTTGATTTTTCCACGGGGGACGCTAGCTTGAATTATTGAAACGAAACAGAGGAAGATTGTAAATCAAAAAAAATTCCTTATTTAGAAAAGTTATTAACGGTATTAATAATATATTTTTTATTACCAATTAACTGCAATACTTTAAATTCTATTGGCAGCACTGACTATTATCTGTTGTCACCTGCAAGGTCCGTTAAACTTAATTTTCGAAATTCTTTAAGCAATTGACAACACGAAGGCTACATTATATAAATAGAATTTTGACTTTTATACATTCCACTGGAAAAGCTACCACTTGTCAGTCCCGGTACTGAAACGAAATTATATATTGAATATTTTTCCACGACTTTTCACATAACCATAGAATTGAAATTTTCAAAAAGGAACGTCCCTGCCAAAAGTATGCTATAGAATTTCGTTATTGCATCACGCAAGTCGAACTAAAAAATATTTTTGTTACTATTGATCAATAAGCTTTTAACTTTAAAAGAACAAATACTACGGTTGGTAACAATAAGAAGAGCCAATATTGCAATTCCATAAAGATCGATACGCATGTAATACGCAATACCCTAGGGACACATTTTCATTTAGTCAATTTTCTTAATGGGACCTTCATCAAATAAATTATGTTAAAATAATAGTAATAAATGTTCATTGGACCATCGCGAATCAAATTTGCCTCCTCTTGCGATCGATATCAACCAGACTAATTTAGAGTTGAAAAAATGTAATGAAAATAACGACCAATAGCGGCGTCCATTTTTAAATCGTATAATAACTCATTGAAGCCGTTATACATATGTACACTCGCGCTGAATAAGTCAAAATTAATTATCCACCACGGACTACAGGGCTGACTTACTACCAATTAAAAGTACAATTTCATTTACGATCTCAACTCATTTCCTCAGTAGACAATCGAAACAAAATTCAAACCGCAAACAAACGTCTAAACGTTTAAACACGATTCAAGCTTTCTACTCGTAAAAGTAATACCCAAAAAAAATTTTAAATAAAGCGACTCACATAATCTCAAGAAGTCTCACGGTGTCCTCTTCAGGTCTTTAGGGCAATCATGCCCGTTACTTCCGACCAACGAAACAACCAAGCTGAGTCACTGGAGTTCCACGTTCCGTGTTCGTTGACAAGATTTTCAAAAATCCCGCCACGAGCACTGAACGAACAAAGCAAAGAGACGCAAACGACTCTCGTCGTCGACGGATACAACTTATACTCGTATTATCCGAAAATCAGGTATTCGACAAACTAAAATAGCTTGTCAAAATAGAAGATATAAAGTTTTCCAAATTAAAAATAAGCAGTCTCACTAAGAGAAGAAGTAAAGGAACGAGGGTGCAAAAGCCGTGCTAAAGGTGGAGCAAAAAGGCGCGTAGCAGCAAACAGCAGCAACGTAAGTTAGTTGGGTAGTTAGATGCGCGTATCCCGACGCCGCGTTCACTGCGCGATCCTTGTGGCTGACCTTGCCACAACTCGAAGGGTAGTGACCTTAGTAGCGTGGAGGCTCGTCGTAGTCCTGTTTTATCGCTCGTCCTTAGCTTTGTCGTTTTAACTCCGATACTCTCGGCCGATTGGCTCGTTTCGATGCAAGTAATATATAAGTACTACTATGCCGCACGTCTCTAACGTTATACTATATCCGCAGCTATACGCCTCTCCGTCTCGTGACCGTTCGCCAAGCCGGCTAACTACGTACTGCCGTATTGCCTGCTGCCCTTACGTTCGGCTGCTTCCGAAACGAAGCGAGTAACAACCGAGTCTTGGCGAAGTGCGCGGCGGCCAACGTCTCTCTCATCGAGTTGCTGCTCCTGCTGGTTTTCCAGTTCAGTAGGGGGGAGCCATGGGGTGGCTCTTCTTGGGGCTGAGCGTGGGGGATATCATCTAGCTTCACCTCAACCACGTCGCGAGGGATGCCACGCGAATAAGTCCGAGAACTGCCGAAAAGGTACGATTCGAAAAGATTACGAAAGGAGGTCGAATATTGTTGTGTCTTCCCAGACTGTTATGATCGTGCACTTGGATTCTTTTGGATTCCTTTGTGCTCCCTTGGATTCCTGCAAACATTACTGTGAGTTATTGATACGATTCGTATATCGTCCTTTCTTTACTAGTTTCGCTTCAAGGGAGTGTCAAGGCTTTTTTAAATTTCTAATAAACCTGAACCTACATTTTTCGTGACGCATCCGTCTCGTCGTCCAATATAAAGTCTGTTTTGAAAGGAATTCGTACAATTCTTAGGAATGAAAGTAAGACAAGAGAAGCGTTTGCGAATCAACGAAAAATTCTTCTGCCCCACCCTTAGTCCCTTAGTCATCGTCTTATTTTTTCTCTTTTTTTTTAATACTTTCTCCTTGTTCACTACAACGCGTTACGTTGATCGATAGCTCGATAGGTCGATAGGTCGATAGCTCTACCTCTATTTACAGTGTTATCACCCATGAATTCTAACCTCACTCTAAACTCTAGTCAGTAGCAACCCTCGATCGAGACCAGACAGATTCAGTAGTCACTCTTCGTTTCAAGTTTCTCAAACCTTTGTTCACTTTACATAAAAAGCCAATATCGTTCTTATCGCATATTTTTTTTTTTTTCTTACTGACGACCCCCTTTTTTAATTATCCCCTTTGACCAAATTAATACAGCATAATATTCCTAGAGCAGGCTTTCGTTATTTTTTAAATACCGTGTAGCTCAACTTTATCGTTATATTTCTCTCTACCTTCTTACTCCTCATTTTCTTCTCTTCTTCTTCTTCCTTTTCTAGATCAATTCCACTCGTTCCTTCTCTTCCTCGATATTCCAGCTTCTTTTTGTATCCTTCACGAATCAACGACCAACCCGATAGGCTTCGATCCTCAAGACGCTTCATTTCCTTCTTCACTCATTTTTTTTTTTACTTATTTTATTCATTTTATCTCTCTCTCTCTCTTCTTCTTCCTCCTCTTCGTGAGATATTCAAGCGATAGAGAGAGCGTTGATAATAATTCCAGTTCCGTAGGAGCTATTATTAGCTATAAGTACTAAAATTATTAATACCGATATTAGCGTAGGCAGCATCCATATTCACGAATGAGAGTAAAGAGACACGGAATAGCCTTATATTAAATGACGTACTGACAGTAATTCCTTCGTCCATTTATTACCGGTAATAAACCGTATTTTTTATACATTTTGTTTAAAATTTTTTTGCATTTTTCAATAATTTCTTACAGCTAACTGAACGTTCGATTTTCAGTTTTATTAAATTTCTACAATTAAGTATATGTGCTGGTAGTTAATTACATGTTAGAAATAAATTTTGTTTACACAATTTCTTTATCTTAAAAATTTTTGGGCGAAATCTACATACTTTGGTAGCGGTTATCATTTTAGTCATGATTATTGATTCTTCAGTGCGATTCCACGTAATGGGATTTTTAAAAAGTGAAAATTGTGCAACATCATGAAAGTTCATGTTACATGAGAAATGCTTCCACATTTTCGATTAATTTATTTTGCATTCGCGTAATACCGCAGGAATGTAAGAACCGCAATGATCCTGACGTGTATTAATTCGCAGTACAAATCACAAGCAAGGAAATAGGGTTGGCGCGTATGCTGGATTTAAATAATCATTGAAACTAACGATTGTCGGATAATTACGTATTTCTTGATAATTTCCTGGCATTCGTAAAATGAAAGGTCGTATATAACGAATGACGATAATCGATGGTATCGTTGAAAATTACGATGACACAGCTTGGCCGGATCGTCGAGTGAAAGTGCGTCATTGACGTATCAGGTAAATCATTGCAATTCGTAATGAATACTGACTTTATGATTTATTAATCATTATGAATTATTACATTGTTTCACATATTAAATCATGGATTATAAAATTTGTGGCTAATTTAAAATTACTGATAACAGTTATATTGCTAATTAATATTATTTCATTTATTTATCGAATCGCATGCATATGTAATTGTTACATAGGATTTTGACTATTTTCAAATTCTGAAGGATTTTTCGAATTTGGTCACTGCAAGGCGTTCCACTGTCGGTGTCTGACTTGTGGACGGAGAATTAACGGTATCCTAACTAGTGACGTGGGGTCACCACGATTTTAATGGCATACCAAATTTGTGGCGAATGTGGCCGAGCGTGGGAGATATAAATATCCGTATAATGAGAATTGTTGATGCGGAATCGTGTTTCCAAAAACTAAAAAAATTTTACGAAAATTTCTGAAACTATTTAATGATTACAAAAAATGCCAAAAATGTTGATTACTTAATTTTCCATGCCCTATAGCCTCTAATCGCACTAGTATCATCATAGATCAATTTCACCCCCGAACAAATATTTGTCTTTTCCTAAAAAAACACAAAGTATAGAAAGATCCAAAAAAAGTGTTGAGACCCCAAAAAAAAAAATGAAGAGCATCGAATTCATGAAATTTAGAACCATTCAAAGAAGATCTCTAAATGTACAACTATCCACTAAAGAAAATAAATATTTGCCTAAAACACTGGTAAGTACTCAAGAATAATTTAACCCAAAGTATTGCTTGAATATCAGCAATGTTTTGTCTATCCCTGTCCAAGATGAAAACATGCCGCGTAAATCACGAGCCAAAATTATAATCTCAAACATCGTTGAAATTTAATAAAAAATCCCCCCCGCTTCCAAAAAAAAATCGGAAAAATCAAAAACAAAGAAATATAAAAATGCCACGTACACTCGAACAAACTATTCCTTTAATTTCCAATAGCAATGAAAAATCAAATGCAAAAAAAAAAGATAAAAATCGTAAAACAAAATCCATTTTGAGCGGTCATCAAAAATCCAATTACCCGAGGGCATCGTACCGTCGAAAACCATCGAATCGTATTATTGTAACGGGGCCAATCGGTGACGACATTCAAACTCAAATCCCAAATGGGCCAATGGACATTGGAAATCCCGTTGGTTTTCTGTTTCCCGTGAAACAAGCGGCCACGAATTGTCACCTCCCCTCCACCCTCCCGTTATCCCTCTTTTCCATTTCTCCACCTTCCTAATTCCTAGAGACTCTCCGTCTTGTCTCTCTCGCTCGTTCGATTCTTTCGACTGGCTGTCTCTCTCTCTCTCTCTCTCTCTCTCTCTCTCTCTCTCTCATTCGGTCACTCTTTACTCAATGTATCCATATACCTGCCGTGAGACTCTGCTCATAACTCAGAGTTTGCCGGGGCGACGTTGTGGCCGGGTTAATATTTAACCACGGTTTAACGGCAACGGTTTAGAGGAAGCGCCGGTGCATTGGACTTCCCTGACCCTGAACCTGGCCGCCTCGATTAAATTTCCCGCGCGCCGATTGCCACGCCTCCCCCCCTGCCCTCCACTCCTCTTTCGTCATCCCCACCACTGACCTGCAACTCTTCACCACTTTGCTATAGGTCACTCTTCATCTTCATTCCTTCCAGGACTATTCACCCTACTGCGCTGTAAAACCTTCTTGGTAAACCTAACCTAACCTACCTTTATCCAGTTACAATTACGTTCGCACTTACAGCGCGGATAACAGGTGCGCTTAATATCGACCAGGAGTCTTGGCACGTTCGAAGGTTCTTTTTTTATCTTAGTATCATCGCCAGGATGCGGCGTGAATGGTATAGTGGGACGTGCATTGTAGAAATTGGTTTCCGGTTTAAAAAAAAAATCATTTCCTTTACTAGACAAATTTTTATATTTATATTCAAAAATTTTTCTTATTCGTAAAATATCATTTTGGTGGTTTTTAATGATTCGAGAGAAATTTTAGGTTAGGTTCTTGTATAGGAATTGGGTGGTCATTCGAGGGGCCATCCAGTTATGACTTACACGTACTGAGAAGTCACCTTGATGTGAAACTTTGATCTTACTCTAAGCCACAGTGTCGAATGTACTTAGGAATTTCTTGAAACGTCATTGTTACTTGATTTTTAGGTAATTAAGATTAATCCTATCTTATGTCCTTCTAAGGAAGTACTCCCTTCAATTTTGTTTATTCTTTCACAAAGTGGTATAGGTCTCGTAGGAATGTCGTATGGGCTACATAGGATGTCACGTTTCTTCAAGTAAAAGGACCCTGAACGGAGTCTGAGCGTGGCTGAGTGTAAATTAAAATCTGTCACGATTTACTGTTAGGTTCATACACGTACGGTACGGGACGTAGTTAAAGGTGTGTTTACCAATGGCGATCGAGATCTCCAGACGTCCCACACATGAAATCGTACGCGAATTAGTAACTTCGGTTAATTTGACTATAATCACGTAAAGTTTAGCCTCGATCAATTAGTTTTACGGGATTTTATAAATTTGGCAAAAAAATTTTTTACAAAATTCCGTTAAAAATGTTGTCCTCTCAATTACCTATTTTTTTAGTCTTTAAAAAAAGATCGAAATATTTCACTAAAATTGTCCCATGATTATTATAAGATGCAGGAGCATGACCGCTGATGCTTAAAGATTCCTTGAACAGGGAAACAGGTGTCACGCTCGGTTGAGGCGGCATGACATTCCAGATTACGTAGCTTCGTGGCTAGCAGAGCATTGCCCTAACTTGACTACCGTCGTAATCGACTTTTCTCATCGTTCGAGTCTTCCGATACCCGCGGCGTCGCTATAGCCACCATTACGAAGCACAGCAACGCCAGGAATAAATAATATCCGCGGCGACTCAATGAACCGAGGTAGAATTTCTTTGATTTTGAAAAAGGACAAAGTTTCAAAAGAAAAAAAAACAGAAGGCAAAACCATTACATCGAAATCGACGATTAGGCCATGTTTTTATACCTTATACCAATATCCATTTGTTTAATGGATTAATTAAAATTCTTTTTCACGAAAAAACCCAGCGCTTTTTCAAATTCTATCCTCGTTCCCGGAAGACGTACCTGCGGAATATTCTAACCGTAGAAAAAAAAATTTTCAATTAACTCCACGTTTCTGTGCAACTAACGACGATAGTAAGAGTGATTATTTTTTAATTTCGAAATTTACATCTTATCGGTAACACGGATTTTTTCTCGAGTGAGACTGTCTAAGAAGTATTTTAATTTTGAATATTTATGATATTGAAAATTGCAATATTACGAAATTTCATTGGCCTATAGTGCATGCAGTATTATGTAACCATATATTTCCAGTTGACTATGTACATATAATTGTATATATATTTTGGCAATATTGACAGTTCCACTTCAATACGTCGGAGTGACTGATGAATCTGTTGTGAAGTTTGAGATTAAATTTTAATCCATTAGACGATGACGCGCATGAAGAAAATGCAACAATGATCATATGTGGCGTTATCAAGATTTAATTTCGGAATAATATTGCATGTTATTTTTAGTAAGAAAAATATCGAATTATTGATTCTTCAATTTTGTATCATACGAAAGTGGTGAAATTTAATGGAATAATTAATTTAGATTTTTTGTATATATTGATATATAATTGAATGAATTTTTTTATTCAATTTTGATAGATGATCAATCGAAATCGATTATCTCTGCTTGGAATCTCCAATAGACTGGGGAGACCTAGAAGACACGAAAGACCCAGTCACCGAGACCCAGAAGACGTAATTTTATTCCACGCGTTCAGTACGGACGATAGGCCTTACATAGCGAAATGGCCGATGCCGATACATACTACGGATCCTTCTTCTTATTCAGTAGGGCTTTTCACTTTACATACCGAAGCATTTGCAGCGACAGTTAAACACGTATTTTATCGCTATGCCTTTACAGGGTAAAAAATAGAACAGGATAGAAGCCGCCATGTTTTTTTGCGATATTCTCAACATTTTCTTAAGAAAAAGTGCCTGACTAAAAAAAAACAGGATATAAAAAAAACTATAATAGGATAGAATCCGCCATACTTTTTATGTCGTTCTCAATATTTTCTTACGGAAAATTGCTTGACTGAAAAAAAAAAAAGTTACTGCCCTCGATCGGTAACGAAGAGCATTTTTTTACGGCCCTCTGTAGTCAGTTTTAACGCAATAAATGATAACTATTTCAGGTTTTACGTGACTATCAATCTAATCGAAGTAGAAATTAAGGCAGTTTCGAAAATTGATAGATACTTAATTTCTGAGTTATTTTATTGTGGTATGGATGTACTCGAATGAAAAAAGCAAACCGTCATTACTACCAATGACCGATGTCTCCCATAAAACTCATATTGAACATAATTCTAATAGTTCTGAAAATCGAAATTTGTAATTTTAAAAAATTCAAAAATTCCTCCCCATAAATTCAGCTGTCCTATTGTCGTGCTAATATTGAATAAAATGTATACGAACGACCTATATGTAACGTCAAAATAGCTAACCACTTATGAATCTCGGTGAGATTACATCTCGAAGACGCTGTGCAGAATCCGCGCTTCCAGTGGGATCCTTATTGAGGCCGTGAGAGTTTACTGTTGAGAATATGAAGACAGCCAACTGTCCGACTGACCTGACCTAGGACAACGTGCAGTCATAAATATTCCAAGTGCATTCCTCTTCGTGCACACGCAAGGAGATACTTAGGGTGTAAAATACACTACGTATATAAGCATTAGACGTCATAAAAACTGCAAGTACTTCCAGGTATGTATATCAACTTCTTTTTACGTCTATAATCGATCCACGACGACTCGTGCAATTTTCTAAGACAAATTAAATACACTATACTTCTACTCAATATTATATTCAAAGTAAAAACCAATTGCTATCTGATATCCATGTTCAATTCCATTTCTGCAAGAGACTTGATTCAGTATCAGCAAGTTATATTGCAAGTACCCACTGTACCCTATATATATATACATACCGTCAGCGTATCGCGCTATTGAAAATATGTCGACCACCTGGCTCGCTTTTATCACGAACCCTTTTTATTTCATTTAAAGGATCCTTTGTGTGCTGATACAAAAGCATGAATATTACTGGCTATTTTAACCAAGCAGGACTCGGCACAAGGTAAACCCTACGTCAAGCACATGTCCTGTGTGACTCACGCATAACCGTACAACAATGCATACCATATAATATATTTATATAGTACGTATATACGTATATACTGTAAGCACGAAGAACTAACCTCATCCTCAACCCTCTCAATGTCCTATACAAAAACATTAGTCCTCCGCCTTCGCCGTATCCTTCGTATACAAGCCACTGGGTAATATTACGTGCAAAGAAATGGCGGCAGGTTTCGTGGGAACCCAGTCACGATATAACGGATCCTTCGAGAAGACATAACATGTTGCGAACGTGTCCCGGAGACTGGCAATATACTGCATAATCGTATGTACGGCTGATCGGACACTCGTGCGAACTCGTGAATATTCGGCACTAGTCGTGCGTACTTGGCTTCGGTCGTGTCTATTCGGGCCTGATCGGGCGGTGTCATGGCGGCGCACGCCTGGCTCGTGTCTACCGAAAACTGGGGCAACTGTGTCGATGTTTCGCGAGGGACATAAAGACGGGACGAACTGATTGGGTCTGATGCTCTTTGAGTCCCATATTGAGAACACGTGGACCAACCTTCAGGTAGAATTCACCGTTTCATTTTAAATTTTATGATACTATCTTGAATGAAGTGGAGCGACGTCAAGAATAGATAGCTCTTGGTTGCATCCTTCTTTTCTACTGTCGTTTTAAAGAATATTTCCATACCGGAGAAATATGAAAAGTTATACCTGAATTTATCGATGATTTTCATAATTGTCGTTGTCTATCGATATTTATAAACGTAGAAAATTAATTGATATTTCACTAAATAAACTATCCAATTGCTTTTTCACCGCGTAACGACGCACTTCGATATTCCCAATAATTTATTTAGTCGGCATTAATTCGCCCGATCGTTTCGTCCACTCAATTGCGCGCACCGTGAAATTAATTGAATAATCGTCATGTGGATTTTACATAGTAAATTCATTCATTTTACGTATCTCGTGCGATTTTCGTAACTCAGTGCAGTTTACCTTTTTAACGTATAAGTATTCAAAATAAAATTACTCTTTACTGCTACAGGTGCATTCACATTCAGCACGGCGGAGTCTTCTACACTAAATCATGCTAAATGTCCTAGCATCTATTTAGTATGCTTTCGAACGCAAGTACAGTTGGCCTGTTTTCGTTGGATTCTCGAAGTTAGGAAGATTTCTAGGGTCCCTAGACAATATATGCACACTTAGCGTAATTAGCATAATAACGGAATCGGCCGAACAGTCGTATAACAAAATATAATGAATTCTGATATAATTTTCATGAAGTTATTTAAAATAATACAACCTATCGACACAATGTGCAGTATTAATAAATTATACCTTATCAGGCGCTAATAAACTGCAGTTGATAATCATCCTAATTTCATTATAGACTTTTTATATATCCTTATTTGCTAAGATATAAAAAACCAATTAGTAATTAATTAAATTAATTAAATTTATCAGAAATATAATCTTCACAATGAAATTGCATATATGCCAATACGTATGCTAAGGTGCATATTTTTTTAATCGAATTTTTTAATTCATAATTCGTAGTTAATACCATACGATATGTGATGGTGAATATGAGTAAGTTACATTTATACGAGAATGTCTGCTGTGCGATAATTTACATTGCACAATAAATCCCATCTGCCTTGCGCAATAATCTCTGTTGCGCAATGAGACTAATGTAGGTCTACCCATAGGATACATATGTCTGTTACATATCCATCTAACATAATTAAAATGATTAATTAACATATTTACATAGAATTGCCTATGTCATTGTTCTTTCATATTTTATTGTTATTCTTATGTACCTATATATCATTATGCGTCTCGCGTTTCCATAGCTATCGGTACTGTCGTGTACTAGGCGCTATGATCTATGTTGTATGATCTATGATCTATGATCCAGGTACGTGAGGCGCCTCGGTAACTCGTGTCGAATCAAAATGAACGTGACGAAAGAGAAAGCTTGATTAAAATGCATTGATGACACTGAATTTTTGTATTTTAAATTTTGAGTATACGTAGGAAAAAAAAAATTTTGAAAATCATATTTTTTGCAATGATAAAAGATGCGAAATTTCACATTTTTTTGTGATAACAGTCAGTCGTAATGGGGTTTTTTTTTTTCGTATTCCACTCGTTAGTGGAAATCGAATGTGGGTAACTTATAGGGAGTAATGATGATTTATTCGAAAAATGTTAATAGTAATTTCGCCAGTGGGTGAAATGGTAGTATTAATAAAAATTGTTCAGGAAACAATGGCGACGATTCTTTCACAATAGATGGGAAGCTGCCACGAGAATTCGTAATTTTTTTTTGTTCTTTTTATACATGCTCTATATCCACAGTATATATGTATATGTAGCTTATCGGATCCACGTGAAATAATTTCACTATTCAGTTTCTGGAATATTTTCGTGGGAGAGGAGATCTATATGGTTCTCAAGTTCATTAGCTACCTGCAAATACTTATGATTATAGATGCTCACAAGATGGCGACTGTGCGCGATAAACAAATTGACTATTAGGAAATTGAATCGAACGACTTTGTTTTTAAATTATTTAATATTATAGTTTACCGTCACTATGAGAAAAACGTATTTATGAGAAGGATCTGAATATTTTCCAAAAATCTCATCCGGTACTTGCATGAATTTATTTTCGGCGAAAACTCGCCGAGCTCGTTGCTTCGTTAATGAGTGTTAATTGGAAATTAAGACCGTACGTAAACAGCGGTACTTGACACAGGTAAAGCATTTCCAAATTGTGAGAATGAGAAAGGAAGTAACCAAGTGACTAATGATATTAAAGTAATTTAATATTTGGCTCCTGAAAATTTATTAATTATTAGACAAGACTTATTAAAATGTCAGGATCAGACTGTTAGTTATTTATGTAATGCTTGGTACGCTTTAAATAATAATAAATTTAATATTTATTTAAACAACGGTCATCGATGATTGATACGTTTTTAGCGACAAATAAATTATGATTGATTAATGTTTTCTTAAAAATAAAATTATAGGACCTAAAATTGTTGCAGTTGGAAAATGCATTAATTAATGTATAGTGGAAAAGGATTTAATTTGAAAGGAATTTATGAAATTTAAGTGCAAGTCGCGAGGGTAGTACTTGTTAGGTTACCTACCCACTTCGGTCGTTTAATTTACTGATTCAGGTCGAACATTGTAATTAAAAAGAGGTCACCCGGTATGCATGCCTCCTTCGAGGAAAACCCATTTAGTATATAGCCTCGTTAACGAGTGTTAATTGGAAATAAAAAACGTGCGTAAACACTGGTACTCAGTCCGGATTTCGTATTCCGTCGTTTCGAATGGGAAATAATGAAAAAACAAAAGACGAAGTAATTTTATAGAAGTGAATATTAAGATGTTGTTCGCTTTGTATATTTGGTTTAGACGATATAGTAATTAAAAAATTTTCGAAATAGATATTCTCCAACATTCTGCAATTATTCGTACTGATATATCGATCTGATATATTTGGGGATATAGCGTTCCTATGTGAAATTGAATAATTGTCATTTTCTGAAAAATCGTGGATTTTGTAAATTCCACGAAAAAATCAATAAACGTAACGATCGAAAGCAACACTTTAAAACGAGCCGATAATTACTAATCGATCACTCGATAATTACCAATACGTCGATTGTCGCGAATCGTAAAAGAAAACCACGTGGTTCGCCAATCATTTTCTACAGTATAAAAATTTAATGACGAGAGTCGCGTCGATTTTGTATCGGTATTTTTCAAACTTTCCCGCGGTAACAATCGCGTGCTGCCAACATAAAAAAGCTATAAACTAGTCGTTAACTAATTAACAAACAAGGAGTCAAGATTTTCAATCCATTTTCAACATTCCAAAATCCATTTAATATTTATTTCTTATCAAGGTCAAAATTATTTCAAAATAGCAATTTGCATTTAATTTTGCACTCAATGAAAAAACATTTTTCAGGATTCCGTTTGCACCGAAGATTCGGAAATTTTATTTAATTAAAAAAAAAAAGAATTTTACTAAATATACATTTAAATTACATAAGCAAGTAAATATCTATATTTCAAGGTTATGATTACTTCTAGAAAAAACGACGACTTACCCTGCAGATTTTTCGCGGGAAAATCAAACTTATAGTAACCGGTGCCAAGTGGAGCTTGGTTATTTATTAGGGCGTGAACTGTCACTGGGATTATTAAAGTTTGTCACAATCGATTAATAACGAATAATCAGATACTTGAATTAACGATAGAGCGTATCAATGCACCTTACTAAGCATCACGCTCGAATGCAAGTGCCGGTGCAGTTCGATCGCTATTTAGTACCGAGCACTGCAACGCCATCTCGCTATTGGCCTTTTGCAACTTGCAGCTCCTACCTGAATGAATATATTTATTTAACCATTAACAGTGTACAGATTATTTTTTTCAACACTGTGATAGATGGAAACGTGCGATTTTCATTGAAATCAATAATTTGTAACAATTCGTCAACACCCGTTATATCGAATTAAAATATCGAACCGTTGAATAGCATTCCTGCGTGATCTTCATTTTAAGGCTAGAATTCCCGAACAAAAAAGACTGTAGACGTATTCAATTTTTTGTGTGTTACAAGCTCAATAAAATTGATTGATTTCTCAAAACTTTCTTCGCTGTCAAAAATCCCATACAATTCAAAAAACTTTCCTCTCACATCTTCCCGCCTTATTTAACTCATGCATAGCGGTAAGTTCGAATTTTATTAAAATCATGACAATATTTTATCACAGAAAAATCAAATTTCTTATTTAACCTCCAGCATCCACTTCAGGTGTACCTAGCGATGCCGAAATAACCGTGGTACCGGAAGTCGAAAAAGACTCGGAGGAAACAAACGAAATTATGGCGGACGATGAAAATCCATCGGATAAAAATATAAATGTCGACACAAGCTCAATGAAAACAAATTTGGAGAAAGAAAGCGTCGAGCCCGTCGGAAGTGACTTACCGGAAATAGATGTGGAATTAATCGGCGACGTCATTAACACCATTGGCGAAGTACATTTCGTCACTGGAAGCAGCTATCAGGGTACTTGGGACGCTGTTGGAATGACTGGCACTGGCAGATACGTCATGTCTCACGGTAACTAAACCATCAACCATAATTTCAATAACCTAAGTAATCAATTTACACCTCTAGATGCATCCACAGCGTCATCCGCGAGCTAGACGTACGTTAAGTTTTTGAAATTTCGGAAACCAACTCGATAAGACTACCTGTTAGATTAAAATCTAAAGGTGCAACGTATTAATTCAGAATTAACGAGCCCAATTTACACACGTGTACATGATTGATGACACGTAGTCCAGGTACTGTGCTATGCTAGGTACACTCCGTTGCATAATTTCACACGTTCCAACTTACATCTCATTCATCTCCATATCCTCTCAGTGCTAAGCAACTGTTTACAATATTACCATAAAGTAACTTCCGATAACTAACTGTAACTTTTAAGATCCTTACCGTGCTAAAACGATGCGTGCTGTTCATGATGCGTAATACGTAGTCGTATGAAACCGTTAGTTACGGGAATCGATCTCTTATATACACTTTGTTTTTGTTCCTTTTTTCCAAACGAATCGATGTCAAAAGCATTTGGCTTGGCGGATAAGCGAATACTAGGAATTATCACGTGACAATTTTTCCCGGCTCTCGCACACGTGAAGCTCGCACGTAATTCGTACCGTTACAGTCGAGAATTCGTAATTAGCAAAAATAGTCACTCGTACATACCGAAGGAAGAAGCATCCACGTTACAAGTTTAAGAATAAAAATAAATTCGCAATACTTACTGTAGTTTAATTATTTTCTTCTGTCTTGTATATTTAACGAAAAGTCGTGGTGGCGTTTAGTTACAAAAGTAGATTAAGAATCGATTTATATTTATACAGTAAATTCTGATTCTATCAGTCGGTGCCAAAGGGGTCGCAATTAGAAATTCACAGTGCAGGCGACAGATGTCACTTCTGTCGCGACTGAAAGCCTCTCAGATTACTTCGAGCTCTCGACTGGAATATCGAATGGTAATCGAATCGCGTAATTCAGTTACAGTTTAAACGTCACCTCTTTCCTGCGACACATTCTGATGAGGATTCATTATTGAGGACGTACGTACCTGCATAAATAGTTATTCCATGAATCGGATGACTTGCATTATAAATCTTGAATAATCGATAACCAGCATACGCATGACAGCAGCCGGCTTGATACTCAAATATTATTGGTTACATTTACAGGTGCAGTGGACCAGAAAGGCTTTGGGAAATGTATCATCTGCCAGCTGTACATATTTCCAAGTTTCAAGTTCCAATTTTCCAATTGTCCAATGGTCTACTTTACAAATTTCCAACTGCCAACTTTATATTTTGTTTTTGTTCTCACAGGCCGTAGCTGCGATTTACGAGTTAAACGCCTGTTGCCTCCGTGTATATTACCTAGGACCTTCGTGTTTTTCCTGCTAAATTTTAAATGGCTGATTTGCTGAATTTTTTAACCTCTTGACTTGGATCTGCACACAGGCGTGGCTTATGAGGGTCAATTTCGGAACAACATGTTTCACGGCAAGGGAACTTTGAGGTGGCCACAAAACCAAAGGATTGATGGAACTTGGAAATATGGAAAATTACAAGAGTACAGTTTCACGTTCGGTGATGGTTTGGAATTTGAATCAAGTAATTGGAAGTATTGCGAATTTCCTGATCGTCGGTTAGTCAATATTATTTTTTTATATAATTAATTATTAATTAAGAATTCGTATGGATCGGTATAGAATTTTAAGACGCTTAGAAAATTTGTACTTGTATGATAGAATATGAAAGCAGGAAGAGACGTTTGACATTATTGGGTAAGGTCGGAAACGAAAGTGAAATGATCAGAGATGCTTTCACTCGCAGTGACCTTGGTGATGGGAATTAGAAAATAATATGCAATTTCGCCGATGCGTGAAAGTTTATTCGCATTTATGTAAATACGTCATTATCTACTGAGAGATCGAGGCACGATTTTAACTTTTTAGAATAATTAATCCTGATTCTCGTGTCGCTGCCATCTTTATATACGAGTACTCTTCTCTTTACTTTCTTTGCGTGAATTAATTCTAATTGTTACAGGATGTACTTACTGGGATGTGGCGTTGAAATATATATATTTTTTTATTTTCACAGATTTCATATTTCTCCTAACATTGAGGTGCAACCAGCTGGGAGATCTTTGAAAACCAGAGTTCAACCAACTAGACTACTTCCGCCTGGATGCTATGATACAGGAGATGGCGTATTCGACCCTCGTACCTATTGCGTCACGTCTTACGACAATCCAAAAAAGGTACGAGATATATAGAAAATTTGAGAACCGTGTTCATAAATATTTTGTGAATTTCTTGAGATGAAAAATAGGTGCTCAGAATTCCAAAAAAAGACGAACGCGATTGGATAGTAGCAAACTGTCGAAAAGCTTCGTACGAACCTACAGGATATCGATCAGATCTTAAGAAAGCTTGTAAAGAGGATGTTTCAGGTCAAAAAAATATACCGTTTTCAAAAGAGTCCCCTGATGATTGGTGGCAACGGTTCGTTTATTTTGACCTTTCACATTTTTGTTTCTACATAGCTATGTTGTTATCATACAATTATCTCGCTGTTATTAAAAGGATTTTTTTTAATTTTATTGAATTTTAGAATGACCACATTTGAAAGAGACTTGGGAGTGTCGAGTGATAACGAAGAATTAAAAGGCAGATCCGAATACGGAGAATATGATGATGCAGTGATAAGGTTTTTTATAAGTTTGACTTGAAAAAGAAATGATTTATTGATTCGAGTTGCGAAACGTATGAGGTTCGTTTTTTATTTAATTTACTCGGTAAACGATATTTCTTACTTAGACCAACAACTTGTGCCTGCCGTGGATTTGGAAAACTAGGAGAGTCTTGCTATTGTATTTATCTCCAAGATTCACGGTCTCAAAGTTCCGATGGCGAAGGGGAAGAGTACAAGGATGATTTGCAAAAAGGGTAACAATAAAATTTGTTGTTAGCTATACAATGTGAAAATAAATTATATGTATACTCAATAAGATTTGATAATATTTTATGTACTCTTTTGACAGCCGAGAAATTTCTTGTGATGAAATGAATGATTTTGATGGAGAAAATTCATGGAAACTTTTAGGAACTGTTTGTGGTCCAACGAAAAGTACTCATACTCTTGTTAGAGATTTTGAGATTAAATCATCTGCTCATTGGTCAGATGAAGAAAATATATGGAATGACAACATTGAAGAGAAAATTTTATATGAAATAAAAACTGAAATACCAAAGAAATCAGAGAAAATGGACTCAGTGTCATTGAAGCAATCCAAAGAAGAAACTATACAAGAAAAAGAAGACAGCATTGAAAAAATCTTTGATTATATAAATGAAGAGAGAGAAGCCGATTGGCAAGAAATGGAAGAAGAAACAATTCCCAATAATAAAAATATGGAAGAAAAGGAATCAGAGAATGAAATATTAAGTAGAATTTTAGAAAGCAAACTTAAAGAGGCGAACAAGAAAGTAGAAGGAACAGTAGAAATACAAAATGAAAGGAACATAAATAAAGATGAGGAAGAAGGGAGGGAGAAGAACATCGAGAGGAAATCAATGTTTAACGAATTCTTTGCAATTGAAGAGGAGCAAATGGAGTATGAAGAAATAGATGAAACAGACTCAGTAGCAGAAATAAAACAAGTACAGCAAATGGAAGAAATAGAAAAAGCCAAAGAAAGCAGCAAAGCAGAACAAATTGAAGAAATTGATCAAGTAGAAGATAATGGCGAAATAAGGAAAACAAGCAAAGTTATGGAAACAAAGAAAAATACAGGAGGTAAGGGAAATGAATTTTCAATAGAGCCACAAGGGTAAATGAACGTATACGTATCCTTTTTACATTTAAACATGTATGTATTATTTGATTCATTTTTACTCCTGTGTAATCGCTAAATGTTCGTTTTTATTTCACCAGGATACCCAACATCCAAAAATAAAAAAGAAAAGAACCTAAAATCAGGATCAGAGTTTTCCTGGCAATCCAAAAAAAAAGTAGCGCCAATTGCAGCATTGGAAAAACAACAGAACAGGGACGGGCAATTGAGAGAGAAAATAAAAGATGACAATAAAATGAAGAAGGAGATAGAGCTACATGATAAAAATTTCTTTGAATCAGAACAACTAATTTTTCAGGATAAATTGCAACGTGGGGAAAAGTTAGAAGTAGAGGAGAAAGAATTAGACGAAATAGAAGAAGAGAAATTGCGGCGACGAATGAGTTTTTTCGAACAAACAATTCCTCGGGTAATAATCATATTTAATATGTCACCGTCGACTAGTGATAACTTTTCATTGTCAAATAATAATATATATTCAATAATAACTATATTCGATTCTCTAATAATGCTATAATATCTAATATGTGACTGCTGTACGATAATTTTTCTATGTTCATTAGGCAAACGAAGAAAAATTATTTCCAGACTTTCGCTCACCGCTCTGTAATATAGAATTTGTTCGAAAATCTTGCGATGCTGATGTTTGCATGAAAAAATCGTCAGAATCAATACACCCTCCGAAGAAATGTCGCGCCGACCGACTTCCGGTGAATGTACCAGCGAAAAGACAGGAATTACAAAGGGACAAACATACCAATTAATTATATAAATAATAATGTAGATAGATTGTGCGAAGTTTTTGATAAGAAATAAATATTTTTTACTTAAATCAATAAGTCTCGAGATAGAAAAAATTCAAAAAATGACATGAGTTTCAAAAGATTTTTTTTTTAATTCTGAAAACCCGATCAATACCAGATAATTACAGTTTACAGTCAGTGTCAAAATCAACACCACGCAAATGACTTGAACGTGTAAAACATGAATTTAAAAAAAAATGACAATAGCCGATGTTCGCAACGCTCGCCAATAAACAGATTCCATTATTTCGTTGTTCATTCGCCAACAAGAAGTTTACGGCTCGGCTCTTAGAATCCTTTTAATCTTAAAGTCTTATCAAACTTATATCACCGACTAAGCAATGGTACGTAATCATTCCCGAAATTTTCGAAAATCAAATCAATACAACTGCCATTTAAATTCAACAAACAAAATTCATAATTTTCGTTAATCATTCGGCGAACCCATCTAATGCAAAACGCCATTGTCGTATTTCAAAAGTTTAATAATCATTCCATAATTAAACAGTGATAACACCGTTCGTTAAATTAGGAAAATTTCAAGCAAACGTTTTTTTTTCTTAGATCTTAAGAAAAATTAAAAATTATGTCTAACTTGTTAATTGGTCTCAACGCAGCGTGAGTGTCTTTCAGTACACATTGGCCAGGGTGGCGTTCAAATTGGCAATGCATGCTGGGAGTTGTATTGCCTTGAACATGGAATCCAGCCTGATGGTCAGATGCCATCAGATAAAACAGTCGGTGGTGGAGATGACAGCTTCAACACCTTCTTCAGCGAAACCGGAGCAGGCAAACACGTACCAAGAGCCGTCTTCATGGACCTGGAGCCCACCGTCGTCGGTAAGAACAAACAGTCCCACCATAAGATCTAATTTTCATAGTCTCCAACCACCCTTTATTCAGTTTCCAACAAATCAATGTATCTTCAAATACATTAATAACGTAATCATTTAAATTCGTAGACGAGGTGCGAACCGGAACCTATCGCCAACTATTTCATCCAGAACAGTTAATAACCGGAAAGGAAGATGCGGCAAACAATTACGCAAGGGGTCACTACACAGTAGGAAAGGAGATAGTAGACCTGGTTCTGGATCGTCTACGTAAACTAGCAGACCAGTGCACGGGACTCCAAGGATTCCTGATATTCCACGCCTTCGGTGGCGGCACTGGTTCTGGGTTCACGTCCCTACTAATGGAGCGCCTGTCCGTGGACTACGGGAAAAAATCGAAGCTCGAATTCGCGATTTATCCGTCACCTCAAATTTGTACAGCGATCGTCGAGCCTTACAATTCGCTTCTGACGACTCACACGACCCTCGAACATTCGGATGCTGCGTTCATGGTCGACAATGAGGCTATTTATGATATCTGTCGACGCAATCTGGACATAGAACGTCCAACCTACACGAACCTCAATCGATTGATCGGTCAAATAGTTTCCTCTATTACCGCATCCTTGAGATTTGACGGTGCACTCAATGTCGATCTGACTGAATTCCAAACTAACCTGGTTCCTTATCCGCGTATTCATTTTCCATTAGCTACTTATGCTCCTGTTATCTCAGCGGAGAAAGCTTATCACGAGCAGCTTACAGTTGCCGAATTGACTAATGCCTGTTTCGAACCAGCAAATCAGATGGTCAAGTGCGATCCACGTCATGGAAAATATATGGCCTGTTGCATGCTCTACAGAGGCGACGTCGTGCCTAAGGATGTGAATGCTGCTATAGCCACAATCAAAACTAAACGGACTATTCAATTTGTTGATTGGTGTCCTACAGGGTTTAAGGTATTATGCAAGTTATTTATTTTAAAGATAGTATAGCACTTGCGACTCTAAGCCTCTTTTAAATAATTTGTTTTGGATCTTGAGATGCTTCAGTTGTTTTTAAAAAATTTGACAATATGAAAATCTGAATGAAAACTACAGTTATATTGTACCATTATGATAGAAATAAGGATGCGGTTAGATAAACCGTGTTACGGTTGAATGACTACGTGATTCTTTATATCAGACTACGTTTCCTGTGGGAAATTGAAAGACATTCCTTCTTTTTACAATGCTGCGATTTTATCTATGTAAATAGGATGTGATTGGACCTGTTTTTTATTGCTTAAATAAATCTAAACTATTTGTCTTTGGGCAACATCAATTAATTAACATCCAATCTTTTTATTAGGTTGGCATCAACTATCAACCCCCAACTGTAGTGCCAGGCGGTGATCTGGCCAAAGTGCAACGAGCGATTTGCATGCTGGCCAACACTACAGCTATCGCTGATGCGTGGACACGTCTGAATCACAAATTCGACGTGATGTACTCAAAACGCGCCTTCGTTCATTGGTACGTGGGTGAGGGAATGGAGGAGGGAGAGTTTTCAGAGGCCAGAGAAGACCTGGCTGCTCTCGAAAAGGACTATGAGGAAGTTGGCCTAGATTCTGTCGAAGGGGAAGGGGAAGGTGGCGAGGAGTACTAGGACTATTCTAGAATTCGTTATTTCTCTTGACGTCTCTCTGCTCCTATATTAAACTCGTATCTAGAGCGTACACGAGGACTAAGTAAATTGTTTTGAGATGCAATTTTGGAATAGCATTTAATTGTGTGTTCATTCCAAAAATGTATAAGTGACGAGTCTGATTCGTTATATGCGTTAATATTGTAAAATTTTAACGTGCTCCCACGTTAATAAAAAATTATTTTCAAACGGATGCACTGTGATGGGTGATGATTGATACTACATTGCACTTGTATAACATGTAGTATATATATATATTTTTAAATTTCAATGAAACAGTGTCCCCTTGACCTTACATTTCAGTCAGAGATAAACTGGGACAATTTGTTAGTAGGACAATTTATTTAGTGGGTAATATGTGAATTCGCACTTTACTAACATAATCTACAAATGTTTATCTGGTCTCTATAGTGTGGTATGAGATTTCTTGTGATAATTTACTGTGCAACGGTAATGCCATTTTAAAAACGTAGCACATTAAATAACATTTGCTAATTACATCAAGGTATGAAACCAAGAAAGGGGTTATGTACTTATGCTTACGCTGTATGAGATTTTTTAATCATGCTAAAAAAATTCTAGACATTTCAACTACCAAGTTTTGCAAAGTTACAAGGAAGATAGTAATAATAATAAAGAATAAAGACAGTTATTTTTTCATCTATAGTAGAACAACAGGTTACAGGTATATTTGAAATTGTAAATCAGACACGAAATTACTATTTAAATAGAGACGATGATCAGTGCCATCTCTTACACAATTCGTGAAACTCATTCAAATATTCAACATTTACCATCGAACGTTTATCAAACGACTTCTCGGTTTGATTTCAGTAAAAAAAAAGTTACAAAAATTATTTTATTGCATTATTCATAACCACCGTAATATTCCGCTTCAAATGTACTGTGTGTTGAGGAATAAGGAATGGTGCATTTAAATCCATAAAAAAGTTTCTTACCGACGTTTGCCAAGAGTTTTACAAGTAATCGAAGAGATGGCACAGCGTCTATCGAATTTTATTATCAGACGATAACGCTTTAATCCGATGAGCGGCCTCGTTCTAAGGGTTGCTCTGGAAACCAGCGGTAAGTTGCGGAGAACCTCTGCCGGCCAAGCTACCCGTTCGTGATCACGTTCAGCTCGGCTACGACGGGATATGCATTATCGACAGACACGATGAGCACGAAATCTTATTCCCAGGCTCGCCGCTCCTATTTAGCGCTATGTTTTTGGTATCGCCTATAACCGTAGCGTTGTGCATCTCCCTACCCATCTTTGATAGTAGCTTCGCCGTTGTCTCTTATTCTCATATTCGATGCTTCAACCAAATAAGGCGAAGGGCGGGACAAGTAATCGTGAGTGGCGAGTGTGTGGGGGAGCGAATAGAGATAGGTACTAAGCTGGGGAGGTGACAAATCGGACCTCTTCGCCGAGTTTTACCGGGTTTACCGTACTGAAAGTGTTAAACGTGTTACGCTGCGAGTAAAAGCTTTTTAGAAATGTCCTATGAAACCAGTAAGTCATAAAGAAACATTCTGTGAATTATTTCGTTTAGACTTTTAATAACGTCGATCGCTTGTAACTTGAAGTTTGATAAGTGCCACTTGCTTGTATGCTTTCTATTTCCGACTAGCCGGATGCATCTTCTCAGCCGCTTTATTATTTTTTCTAGATTTCTATTTGTCGAAGTTTCATATTTTAATCGGAGCAGTATATTCTACTGTTATTTTGTTCTTTTTCGCGGTCCGTTTCTTTCATTTAATAAACCGTTATGATTTGCTCCGAAATACCGCTCGTTAACGGAGATTCTGTCTCCGTATAATTGTCACAATTTCCGCCTCACTTATCTCAAGCACTTTGCACAATATTCGTTAGAAGGTTTTATGACTAAGCGTATTGTTTTCGTAATTTTATTATAAAAGCGATTTATCTATGTGTAATAGTGATAGAGTAACAAATATCTGTGAATCATAATCATGACTATTCCTCAGTCATAAGACATAATTTTAAAGATTGACTAGAATCAAAATCCTAGTTTGAAAATATTCACTTGTTTCCTCATCTTGACAGTGAATACTGAATTGTATATTTTTTTTATACTTTTTTTCTATAGTGAATTATTTAAACTATTTATACTCTCTCCATTTGTAGAATGCTTAACTATTTCTATGCTACTTCTGGCTTGATGATAAATTTAACTTTCTGAGTAAATAAGAAATAATAAGTAATTAATTCAGAAATTTCTGTGTTGCCTGTACACGAGAGTCAGAAATAGATGCATACATATCAAATTGCACTGTATCAGCATAAAAGTTTTAAATTCATTATTCAGTTATTTCACAAGAATATCACCGCAACTTTGCCTAAAATAATTTTGATGTTTTGATCTGGACATTTGCCAGGGTGTCAAGCAGCTGTAGATATTTTAGTTTGACAGCCGAACGTTAATTAGTTACAACAGATAGGCAAACTATATTCTGTGTATATTTCTGTGCTATAAAATTAATATTTTAAAGATAAATCAACAGAGATTAGATTGGGCTATTGATCAAATATATATACATTTGATGAATCACCATATTAATCTCATTAATACGTCTACCCTTGCGTGTCGACACCAGATGTCATCTGCTACCTGAAACACGACTAAAAAGAAAATTACATTTGATGATTGATTTTACATTTTTATCCAACATCACGAATATTTTTTTCAGAATTTATATTTGCTACATTGCCAAGAACACAACGAGGACAACCTCTAGTATTAGGTGCTGATCCGAAAGGAAAGAATTTCTTGTATACTAATGGAAACAGTGTCATCATTAGAAACATTGATGTAAGTTTTATAATTTTATACAAAACTGTTGCAAGTACTAAATTCTGTAATTTCTTTTTAGAATCCAGCAATTGCTGACATCTATACAGAGCATTCTTGTCCAGTGAATGTCGCAAAGTATTCCCCAAGCGGTTTTTACATAGCATCAGGAGGTATGCAATTATTAAACAATGTGGTGAATATATTAAATTTCCAAACACTAATAAAATCAATTAACTTCAGATCAGTCGGGTAAAGTTCGTATTTGGGACACTGTAAACAAAGAGCATATTTTGAAAAATGAATTTCATCCAATCGGAGGACCCATCAAAGACATCGCCTGGTCTCCTGACAATCAGCGAATGGTTGTTGTTGGCGAGGGAAGAGAAAGGTAAGAGAAAAAGTTAATCAGAATTGCTACAAGCAGTTTTACAATTGCTAAACAATCTGAAACAAGAATTGTCATAGATTCGGCCATGTCTTCATGGCGGAAACTGGAACATCCGTGGGTGAAATATCTGGCCAAAGTAAACCCATAAATTCCTGCGACTTCAGACCAGCAAGACCGTTCAGATTGATCACCGGAAGTGAGGACAATACCATTGCAGTATTCGAAGGGCCTCCATTCAAGTTTAAGTTAGTACTACGATACCTTAACTACCTTGAACCTATTTAAAATAAATGAATTCTATTTCAGGATGACGAAGCAGGACCATGCCCGTTTCGTACAAGCTGTACGCTACTCTCCTTCTGGAAATTTATTCGCTTCTGCAGGGTTTGATGGAAAAGTCTTTATGTATGATGGCACTTCCTCAGACCTTGTTGGAGAAGTTGGATCCCCTGCTCATCAGGGTGGAGTATATGGAGTACGAGATAAAAAGACTTGCATGATAATAAGAATAAATTTTAAAATGACCCTCAGATCCATATCTAATTATATTCCATTGCTAGGTGGCCTGGAAGCCTGATGGTACGCAACTCCTAACTGCTTCCGGTGATAAGACATGTAAACTGTGGGACGTGGAAACGCGCACAGTCATTAGTGAATTCAACATGGGATCAACTGTTGACGATCAACAAGTAAGTATTGTCTAGTAAAAAATAAAAACAACAAAGTCAACAAAATTTATAACATTTCTCATCCCTTACAGGTTAGCTGCTTATGGCAAGGCAATCACTTATTGACCGTGTCTCTAAGTGGATTCATTAATTATCTCGATGTCAATAACCCTGAGAAACCTCTCAGAATAATAAAGGTCAATACTGCAAAGATCACTGTACATGTGTAGTTATCATTGAGTATAAAACTACTTTCTTTTTTTCAACTTTTAGGGTCACAATAAACCAATTACAGTGTTAGCCTTGAGCCCCGATAGGGGTACAATTTACACAGGATCTCATGATGGTCATGTAACCAATTGGAATGCAGAGACTGGCGAGAATGATCGTGTCCAAGGTCAAGGCCATGGAAATCAAATAAATGGTATGAAAGCAACTGATAACGTCGTATACACTGCCGGTATCGATGACACCCTCAGAGTCATTGACATAGCTACAAATTCCTACCAGGGAGCTTCTGCTATAAAATTAGACTCTCAGCCAAGGGGTCTGGACATCTATGGCGACATAGTAGTCACTGCCTGCGTCAGACAGGTACGTTGATACAAGAAAAAGAATTTCATAGCATTAATATATGCCTATTATAAAAATATTTGATTTATAAGCAATCCTGACTTACAGCTCACTGTCACGCAAGATGGTAGGAAAGTGTCAAGCGTACCAATCGATTATGAACCCTCATGCGTGAGCATAAATCAAGAAAATGGTGACGTCGCCGTTGGCGGGTCCACTGACAATAAAGTTCACATTTATGAACTGTCAAGTACAACACTGACACCTAAAACCGAACTGGAACACCTAGGACCAGTCACCGACGCGGCTTACAGTCCTGACAATAAGTATTTAGTAGCTTGCGACGCCAATAGAAAAGTTATCCTCTACGTGGTTCCAGAATACAAGGTAAGAACATTAATAAACGATTAGTTAAGTAAACGTTGTTTTCCCTGCTTTGTAAATTGCTAACAATTGCCTATCTTGTTTATACTCCTTGCTTCATAAATCATGGAACTTACAGAGGGTATGTCGCTTGTGAAATTTATCATAGTTGCTACACGAAACTTACTTAAAATATTCCATATAAAAATTAGACTTACGATTATTTCATCTCTCTCTGTTTCAGCTCGCGCACAACAAAGAATGGGGCTTCCATAATGCACGTGTAAATTCTGTGGCCTGGTCACCTGACTCCGATATGGTTGCCAGTGGCAGTCTGGACACCACCATAATAATTTGGAGTGTGACAAATCCGGCTAAGCACACCATCATTAAAAGTACGTATAGATATACAGATATATAGTCCATGATTGGTACAACCTTCTGAAAATGGGGTGACTGGCATTAACGAGGTAACAACAAACTAAATTTATTCTAGATGCCCATCCGCAGAGTCAAATAACTCGACTGGTCTGGCACAACGACGAGACTCTCATCTCTGTCGGACAGGATTGCAATACAAAGATATGGCGCGTAGAAAAGATTTAATTGAACTGCCGAACCGTACTATCATCCATTTTTCGATACAGCTTAACTAACTTTAGATGCATTATATTTATTTAATTTGTAGCTTACAAATATTGTATATTATTTTTGAATACGATTCTTGATATACAATAAAAGAAAGATTGTATGAATTTACTGGAGTCACTCTCGTCATACATGAAACACATCTCTGCGAGGAGGCTGTAAAAGGAAGATGGACAATTGAACGAATATTATAGACTTCTACCCTAAGATTGTCTTTATTAAAACGATTTAACGATAACAAGAAAACAATAACAATTTGAACACTATAGGTTTGAAGGAACATGCTCGCTCTCCCGTCAATCCGCATACGTCAGCATCCAAGAGAGGAGAGATATAAGAATCATTGTCGATTCTACTTTCTCTTTATACAAATGGACGCATATGACTTTTATTCGCTTTTCCTACAATATCACGTCGGACGAGGATTTTGCAGATTAATAAACTTCTACGTACCGAACGACCGACAGAAAAGCGTCCTAACGAAGGGATACGTGAGTCAGGTTGGCTACAAACATGCCAGCATCCATTCTACGGTTTTGTCAGGCTGTAACGAGGACGTTTTTGGGGAGAAGCTACCGGGTGTCTGTAAGAAACATGTTTTCTGAGAGCGTCACGTGAACGCGATACGTGAGAACAAGCTGTACAACTGTACGAGCTGTTGCTGTGCGTCTCCATGTGAACGCGAAGATTATATTGGTTACTTAGTTGTTTTCCACAGATCAAACAAGTCACGCTTGTCTTGTTCGAACTTTGAGTGGCGTTCCTATTGGCGACTGTGGTGCCGCCTAAAAATCCAAAATTTGCATTCTCGCTGTCTACTGGTAATAACTTGACGTTTTCCAAAACCGGACTCTTCTCCTCGGTTACCAGGATACCTTCATCCATTCCACTATCCTGACCCTTGTCCACTGCTTTGTTAGAAGGTATTATTCCTGGGATTGGCTTCCTCTCACGCTGATTTAGTTTATCGTTTATCGAATAATAAGGCTTTGTCTTTACGCTGTAGGGAGTATCATCCTGGTCATTTGAAGACTCCTCCTCAGGGTTGTCCGTTAGGTGCATCGTCGAGACTGACTCTAGGGATTCGGCAAGAGCTGTACTGTCGTTTGATTCCTTTCTGACTGCCATCTCCGAGGTGTCCTTCTCTTGGGCGAGTACAGGTGGATTCACAAAGAGTCCGTTGTCGTGTCGTGAATTCTTCTGGAATTAACAGTGAAGTCTACATGACGGACAACGAATTGATACATAGTACATTGATACTGAAGCTGTTAGCGAAAGGCATTAATTCCACGATTATTTTTTATTTTTACTGGTCCAGGTTCTCTCTTGCATTTCTTTTTGTAACTACTAAACATATGGTGGATGATTAAAAGAGAAACTTATGGCAGCTACCTCTGTCATATTATTGGATCATTTTTAGAATTCCACCTGTCATCTTTTATTCTGTAGTCTTGTTTCTCGTTAAGTGCAATCTGTCGCGACATAAAGTATCGTGAAGAAAGCTATTTTTTAAATGTACCTTTAAATTCATTCTATGGGGTAAGGTTCCATGGGATGCATCCACTTGCATTTAGTTGCAACACACACAACGATCTTGATCTCGTGGATATCGTTTGTTATTCATTATCGTTCCTTCGATGCGCGTATGTACACAATATGTACGCGGAGGACAAGTCCTTTGTGAAGTACTTCTTGAGGAACGACAGTGAATGTGTTTAAGTGACCTGAACAAAACAACACGATCATAGGGTGATATCAAGATTAAAGAAGGATCAAGCGAGTGTGCTAATTTTTCTCTTTTTTTGTCTTTTTTATCAATTATATGACAGTAATATAGTGTAGTGAAAAATGGGCTACATGAGAAAAAAGAAAACACTGTAGCGGCACTGAAGAAAATTTCTAGCGATATCCTTTTAACATGAGATACAGAAACAATCTATGTTAATCGTAGCAGCATATTGTCCAATCGCCATAATGTAGTTACAAAAATCATACAACATTTTTGCATGCAATCGATTTTTGTTAATTACATAGAAACTGTATATATGCCTGAAATCTTGAAAAACGCTAGATGGTCTGCATTCCTAGTGCAGAGTGCGGTTCAGAAAGTGTGGTAAAATTTTGACTTTGAAATATATTAATGATTTATAGAAAATGTTATGAGTATTCCTGTATTGTACTGTACAATCATCAGCAATAAAGTCTATCTTTCACGAATGATCTGCTTGACTGTGTTGTTCTCATGTATTACAAATAGATGTTATGTTTCACATGCAAAGTTCTTGGAAGAATTAATCCATTTTAAGGGATTTTGGAGACCAGTATCATCAATCGGTACAAGAAATAAAATTCACTAGTTATCAGATTCTTAGGTATTTGAGTTAATAACAAGTTTTGCATACCCCAGCAATGTCAGCCAACCCACGAATATGAAGAGTATCAGCCATAGCAAGAAGAGCAGGGAGTTGTTCTTGATATATATTGACCTCTCCGTTATACATAAATGTCACTAACGCACATAAGTTTGCATATTCCATACCAGGTAGCACAATAACTGGATGCTGCTGAGAGCTCAAGTCCTGCAATGCAATTTAACGAATAACATAGAAAACAAAGAGGAATCTATAGCAGTACCTTAAATAATTCCTTGAAATAATAGCTGCATGCTGAGAGTATGATCCTGTGAGCTCGAATATGCCTACCACCAGCACTTAGAGTGACATCCGTCAAATATCCTCCATCAAGTAGTTTTGGCAGGGAGCTCAGAAGTGTATTTTGGAAATTGTGCCACCGTAAGCAAAATTGCTGTTGACTCTCCATGCCTCCTAGCCAAAGAGATTCATAGTATAACTTTAATCTAAATGAGTTGCAATATACTACAGTGAGACAGATTTGCACTAAAACGCTTCCTAATAAAATAAATGATATGTATAATGAGTATCAGACTATTATTCCTAAATAAAATGCAAATGAAACACTCTAATCTCCATGATTGGAAAGAACCTATTCCTTAAAATATAAAGTAAAAAAAATATAGGAACGTAAAAGAGTTCCTATTGGACATGTCTGAGATGCATTTAGCCACTAGTAGTAGATCAGTAGCTAGAGAGTGAGACAATCCTATTTATTTAATCAGCCAGTAGGTTCCAGCCAAATCTATTATTGTCCTCAGGTATGGCTGGAGGAAAGGATAGATGTTGGCGTGTGTTTGATCGCTTGCACAATTGTCACTCTTTTGTAACAAACGTCCTTGAAACTGTGATCGAATGGAGAATGAAATTAGGAAGTAATAAACACATTCACACCTTGCATCCTCGACCCTCTATTTCTCCCCGGAGATACAATACTCTTTGCACAACACTGCACTTCACCTGGCAATCCGCAAGAGCAGGAACAACTCTGTAGCCAAAAGAGGACGGAACACAAGAGCTGACGAGAGTTCTAATGATATTTCTGAGCGCTACCTCACGTGTTCCAAACAAAGCACAATCCAAGAAGATGCTTGTGATTAGATGATAACCAGTTCTCGACTTCTGCTGTACCACTATGATTCTGAAGTACCTACGCTGTTACTATTTGGGCGTAATCAATATCTAGTGGGAGACGTGGACATCGTACAATTGGTTTAACTTACTCCCACTGCCTTGCTCCAATCCCTTTTTTGGAGAAGAAGCCAATGGCGTCGCCCCAAGAACAACTTAGTTCAGAAGACAGCACATGTGCAAACCCAGATGATAACAAAGAGCAGTAAATGGTTTTTAAAATGAGAGCAGCCACGCTGGCACTCGGTCGGTGCTGGCGCAAGCGTATAAGTAATGAGAATGACTCATAAACGTCACCTGCTCCAATCGCCAGGTGTAAAAAAGTTGTAAAGATTCTGGAGCCTTGTCTGTAACTTTTTTCCTGTTCTCATTTCCTAACCCGTTGTTTTATGTTCAACAAGTTGGCAATGCTTCGACGTACGTTGGAGCAGCTGATTACATGTCGGATGTTATTGGGTGTCTTCAAAATTCGACGCGCTTCTTGATCTAACGTATGTTAAATAATAATGGTGTGGAAAAGCTGCTGCCCTTTAATTACATAGAAAATGAGTAACACGTTTGGATGGAAGCAACAAATTGCGTCATTTCTAGTGTTTATATCATGTCTTGTATTCGTTGGCAGTTCCGATTTTGAACAGCTGACCTTTTGCGGGCCAACTTCGGAAAAGCCAATTCGCAGGTAACTGAGAACATTAATGTTAAATTTGAATAAAACATTGTTTATATAATTCTTTTTACAGTTTGGTATTTGTGAGTACTCTGGATGGAAAAGTATCTGCATTGGATGCAGCTCATCAAGGAGAAAAACAATGGACTTTAGATTTTGATGATGGACCTATGTTATCATCGAGTATCCATCGAAGAGAAGTATGTCAAATGTAGCAAAGTATATTCTGGATTTAAGTATTTCATGAGTATGTATTATTCTAGCTTAACAATAATGGACAATGGGTGAAACTAATCCCATCGTTAAATGGTGGCCTGTATAAATTTGATGGGGAGCATTTAGAAGGCATTCCAGTATCTACGGAACATCTCCTCAGATCTTCCTTTCGTTATTCGGATGATTTAGTGTTTTCTGGTGGCAAAGAAACACGCTCATATGGTAAGATGAAAAATAAATAGTAATACAAACCTTATGGATATAATAATTGTTGTGCTGAAGTAGTTTGGTTTTGTAACAGACATCTATAACATAAAATTTACTCCAAATAGTTATGTTATATACAGATGAAATAAGACCAAATAAGGCATATCTAATTTTTCATTAGGAGTATCAGCAACAACAGGAAAAATATTATACCAATGTAATATCAGTGGTTGTACTAATAAAACCAATGACAATTATAACGATGAAGAAGTACTCGTTATTCAACGTCTCCAGCAAACTGTACGAGCCGTTGAACCGCGTACTGGTGCTGAAAGGTCAATTTCCAAATTTGCAATTTAATGTAGTAACACTTTTAAAACGTACTTCATTTTCATACTACAACTTCAAATATTCCTTAAGTATTGTATTTCAGGTGGAATTTTAGTGTGGGACAGCATGATCTAACTCTTCTCCCAGCAGAAACAGCCGATTGCCATGATACAGCAGCAAACCCATCACAAAAGAATATTGTGGACATAGAACTGAAAGTCATTGTACCAGAGGGCCTAGTTTGGGCCATAAATAAAAGCAATCCCAATGTAAAATTATGGCAATACAAGGTAACATGATAATTTGCGGCTAATCAATATAATTAGTAAAAGATTAAAGAATTTATATCATTAAACTTTTCTCTTGCTCAGTTTGATTCACCAATCGTCACTGTGTGGAGGAAGGAGAATACGCCAACTTCAAAAAGTGAAAAGGGTCTGGAAGAAGTAAATTTATTTGATGGCTCACAATGGGAATGGGGTTCTGATTTTTCGTCAAGTCCCAGCATATATTTAGGAATGCACGAAAAACAATTGTACGTCCAAGAGAATGAAGCATTCTCTAAAGCTTTAAGCCAGAGCCCGCAAAAGCAACTGCAATATCCAAAGATTCCATGGCAACCCTATCCTGCTATAAGTACGATTATTTATTCGCTCTACGTAATCAGCTAAAGAATAACATTATCTCAAAACAAACTAATATTTTATTTCTCCTAATATGACTTTTGCCATAATGGCCTGCAAAATTAATTAAACTCTACTATTGTCAAACGTCTCATTTCTCTTCCAACAGGTACTGCAGTGTCAATGACGGTTAAAAATGTAGTTCAGGGTGAAAACAACAGTGAAATGCACTCAGAAATAAGCGAGAGTCAAAGTACAACAGCACTTTCAGTACTGTATAATTCAGAATACATAAACGGTACGTAATGGCACCTTAAAAACGTTATCCTATGTTCTTGTAGTGATATGATATTATTGAATTCTTAGGAAATGGCTTTTATCTATATTCCAAGGGCCAACAAAGCTGGAATATTACTAACCAGTGTAATGAAAGTGATCCAGTAATAATTGTAGAGAATGTTGAGCTACCATCTTTGACTGAATATATGAATGACGAAGAGGAGACTCCAGTGAAAATAATTATTGTTTCACTTTGGTACTGGTGGTGAGTAATAATTACAGATACATCACTAATTATGTCTGAGTAGCTATAACATGGAATATACTATTGTTTAGGAAGGAAGTGGTAATAATATCTATTACTACAGCATTTCTCTTAAATTTTTTGCTGACACAACGTCTCCTGAACGCAACGACAATTGTTAAGGACGCAGTGATGCCGGTAAGTCACACAATACTTCCAAACAATATCATAACTATACGCATGAACTTCTAACACAAAGGTTTATGTAATAGCCTTTGATTGTGGAAAGGCACGTCGAGGCAAAAGAGGAGGATCACAAAGCTTTCCAGGATGTTGGAAATGGGGTAGATTTCTATTCGCGTTACCTGACGGATTTCGAACAAATTGATTGTCTTGGAAAAGGTGGCTATGGAATTGTGTTTGAGGCAAGAAACAAAATAGATGATTGTAATTACGCCATTAAAAGAATTGCCTTGCCAAACAGGTAAATAACAACGAAGCATATTCTGTAAATTATAATCCTATTATTATGGTGACTTTAAATATTCAGTTATATCTCATGTACAGTCGAGACTCAAGGGAACGCGTAATGAGAGAGGTAAAAGCTCTGGCTAAATTGGATCACCACAATATAGTGCGTTACTTCAATGCCTGGCTGGAATGCCCACCAGCAGGGTGGCAGGAAAATCACGATCTCCTGTGGAAGAACAAACAGGAATTCACGTCGGAAACATCACACAGTCTTACAAACACCAAACCGAGGAATTCGGTGTGCATTGATGTACCACAGAGTGATGCATCCTCTGTAGATAGTGCTTTTGATGCTTTCGAATTGAATCAAACTACCAAGGATGATGATTCCTTTATTGTATTTGATACGGATCCTGAAGGAATCAGAGGACATGATCGAGTTATAAATTTCAGTGACGACAACAGTGTTTCTAGTACTGATATTTCTATTTCGATTGGTGCTGCTAGTATTAAACCATCTTCGAAGCAGAAGATGAATCACTCTGAGTCGATAGTCTTTCAAAATAGCATTACTTCCAATAAAGAAAAATCTAAGGAAAGTATTGCTGATAAAAAGTCTAAACTAGCTCTGGATTTAGAAGGTACTGGTGTTCGAAAAACGACGAAAATGTTCCTATACATTCAAATGCAACTGTGCCAAAGATTGAGTTTGCGTGAATGGCTGAAGAGACAAGATAGACCTAGAAATTCTAAAAGAATTTGTAATATATTTCAACAAATAGTCGATGCTGTGGAATACGTTCATCTGCAGGGTCTTATCCATCGTGACCTCAAGGTACATTGAATCAGCTAATTATATTAAAGTTACTTGCAGTAACTTTCTCTAATTTTCGTTTTAGTCCTTATTTCTTTTGATATATCGTTTGTATCCTTTTAGCCATCGAATATTTTCTTTGCCTATGACGAGAAAATAAAAATAGGTGACTTTGGTCTAGTCACTGCAATGACAGAAGGCTTTGACGAAGCACGAACTCCTAGTGAACAAGAGGACATGATGAATCTAAAGACTGGTCTGCATACTGCATGTGTTGGTACTCACCTGTATATGTCGCCAGAACAGATGAACGGCCAAGTTTATAATTATAAAGTAGATATTTATTCACTTGGAATTATCCTATTTGAGCTTCTCACACCATTCACAACAGAAATGGAAAGAGTGGTTGCTTTAATGAATTTAAGGAAAGCTGTGTTCCCTAAGGATTTTGCTACTCATTATCCAGCAGAGGTATGCCAACCATTCTTTTAAAATGATAGAAATTTTTTATACTTGAGAAACAGATGAAAATTTTTTGACAGTTTGACTTGCTGAAGATGATGCTTGACGAGAACCCTAACAAAAGACCCACAACTCTGGGAATAAAGGCACGACCGCCATTATGCAATTCTAGCTCACAAAATGACCTGAGTGCCAACGAGGGAAATAAATGGCACTTCGAATTGCCACAATTGAGCAGACATTCCTCTGTAACAAGTAGTGGTAGCAGTGAATCATGGGAGAATATTAGTTAGATAAGCAGAATACATAGAGCAAATGTAAACAGGAATATTGTACATGTATGTGTTCATCAGCAGTATTGATATTCAGTCCATTTGTATAAATATCAATGCTAATTTAAATTGATTCCAGAAAAATGGAAGAGAAAGAGGGTGTTCATGGACTGTACACGATGTTGTTCATGCAAATAACATATTATAAGACTTTGAAGCTGTATATCGATTGTATCAATGATGAATCTTAACTGTAATGCCATATTTTTTAGAAGTCTACATTAGAAATATGTTAATCAAATATTGCCTTGGCAGCCACTGGGTATGAATTGACAAAATTATTTTTCTCTATCTATAGTTGGCTATTACTTTGCAAAGAGGTGAATGTTACAAAAGTACGATCGTTAATCAATTTTGCGCTATTAAAAAACGTGAAAAATATATTTCTTTTATTTGTACATCATCAGTGTATTTTACTTGACCCTCTACCCGTCATGAATTTCAATAAAATACTCAGTATGTTTTACAAAGTAATTGCATTACAGCGTTATACAATCAACAATCCCATTTCCTATATTACCGCACATCATTGACGAATGTTATCTTTTATTCGTCAACACTCGAAATTCTTATCACTATGACAAATAACGTAATTACAGATGACTCACGAGTTTTGTGCGTTACAAATAAGAGTCTCACATTTCAGGAACAGTAAAAACAATATGTAGATAAAAAAGAATCATCTAATTTTAAGTACTTTCATTGTCTGTGGGAGCTCCATTATTTTTAGATTGAGGCTGAACGAATTCTTCCTTTAAAGTCAGAAATCTGTTTCTGCAAAAGGAAAAGAATTTTAAAAAACTATTTCAATCCATTATGGAATACAAATCTCTCCACAATGTACAATACTAAAAAAGAAAGGTTGCCAGAGAACATTTTATATGCTGATGTAAAAACTTTTAACGCACCAATCAGAGAGCTCGGTGTAATATACTTCATCGCCATCAGTACTTGGTTTAATTGTCTATCATACAATCTATATGAACAATCTCTATTAACACAATGTACAATTAATTGAATATTACGCTCATCAAAGCTATACATAATTATATTAAGGAATATGCAGAGTTAAATGACTGTTTGCAAAGTATGATCGTGTACAGTCTTGTAAATAAAACATAACACGTACCAAACGAACTACTGCGGGCAAGTCCAGTGATATAAGGCTTTCAGGAAGCAGTTGGCGACAAAAATGGTTCACAAGAATATACAGTTAACTGTACAGACGATAAAAAAAATTTTATCACAGCGATGCTTTGCATGAATTGCGAATTTCAAAATATCAAAAGACAAGTAAAATTGTAGTACACGTGAACTACTATTTGAAAAAGTGGTTTGCAAAATTGGCTAGACTTCTGTGAAGGTCTACTTATGTTTTCAGGACTTAACTGTAATGGCACTGCAGGAAACTGGCGAGGCTTTTCCCGTTGGTCTATTTGAAACCACTAACTCTGCGCCGTCCGTATGAAACGTGCCACCTTGCTACAAAATACTTCTGGTTGGAAAATAAATATTATAGTCTTGTTCTGACATTAAGCTCGTTTAGTGGCATTTTTTATTTAAAGTAGCAGTTGTCATAGAGAACTGTTACATATAATAAAAAGTTCGTTTGTACTATCATAGCTGGAATTCTGAACGTAAGAAATATGCTAAATAATTGATTTCATTCCTACGTTTTGTTACTCAGGCAAGAAAGTAAAAAATTACTGAGAATGAATAACTTAATTGGATGCATCATGTTTCTTAGAATTCTGTCCGAGTAAGTAGATAAACCTGGGAAATTTAAGCTTCGCTAATCTGTGATTTAAAAAAGATGATTTTTTCCTAGATAGAAAGAATACTGCTCTGAATTTATTAAGAGCAATGACAAACGAAGATTAGGTAGAAATAAATATGTAACTGGCAGTTCCTCGTAGAAATATTTTGTGGTCCTTAAAAGGACCGTTATAGGTTTGTTGGACGCCTTGTAGAATTCATCGTTAATTATATCCCATCTTACTTGGAACTCGTGTATTTAGTGACGGCCTTCGTACCCTCACTAACCGCGTGCTTGGCGAGTTCACCAGGAAGCAGAAGTCGCACGGCAGTCTGAATCTCCCGGGACGTGATAGTCGAACGTTTATTATAATGAGCTAAACGCGATGCTTCTGCAGCAATTCGTTCAAAGATATCGTTAACGAAACTGTTCATGATGCTCATAGCTTTGCTGGAAATACCAGTGTCGGGATGCACTTGCTTCAAAACTTTATAGATATAAATAGCATAGCTTTCCTTCCTCTTGCGCTTTTTCTTCTTATCAGCCTTTGATATATTCTTTTGGGCTTTTCCAGCCTTTTTCACGGCCTTACCGCTCGTCTTAGGTGGCATCCTCACAAAAGTGAACGAACTGTCAGATTTCCAATACAACACAAATAATAGCTCAAGCACTAATGCGGGTCAGTGGGTGCCGCCTCATACTTATAGGCAGTGAAGACCTCCCTACGCACCAATCAGATGGCTCGTAGTGAAAACACCGAATAAGCAACGCTCCTATTGGTCCGTTGGATTTAGTGGAAAACCGTTATAAGGCCAAATGTACCATCCTTTTTACTCAAATCGACGTCTCTACTCCAGACGGGAGGATCGTCTGTCATACTTGTACTACGAAGCGTTTAGTAAATCGATATCATGTCTGGGCGAGGCAAGGGTGGCAAGGCTAAGGGAAAGGCGAAGTCTCGTTCAAGTAGGGCTGGACTTCAGTTCCCTGTTGGTCGTATTCACAGACTTCTTCGTAAAGGTAATTACGCGGAACGTGTGGGCGCTGGAGCTCCGGTTTATCTTGCTGCTGTTATGGAGTATCTGGCTGCTGAAGTACTTGAATTGGCTGGCAATGCTGCACGTGACAACAAGAAGACTAGGATTATTCCTAGACACTTGCAATTGGCCATCCGGAATGACGAAGAGTTGAATAAGTTACTCTCTGGTGTGACTATTGCCCAGGGTGGTGTATTACCTAACATCCAGGCTGTACTTCTGCCCAAAAAAACTGAGAAGACTACGTAAGAAGAGAGCTACGAGTACCACTCCAAGAATACAAAAACCGGCCCTTTTCAGGGCCACAAATAATTATGTACGAGGAATAGCTTTACAGTTTAATCATGAAACTTTAAATAATTTATTGTCCAACGCATTATATCCATCTTTTATTATACAAAATGCATGTATGTACAAATAAACCCTATGTTATTCATAAATTACGATATTAACGCGATGATTATTTTAAATACTAGGGTTAATTTATATCGACGTATATCATAAATTATTTTATTCTATTTCCATTTGAAAAAGTAAGAAAGATAAAGCTTAATACGCTTACTTAGAACTTCACATAATATAGTCGAGGGGCATGTTCGTTCCTAGTACTTTTATGTACTTAGGAACACTGGTGTGTTCAAAAATGAGCTGAGAGCACAGAATACATCGTCCTCGTTCCAATGCATTTAATAAACAACGATACACTCAGCGCTCTATACTCATTTTCGAACACATCCAAGCACTTAAAAATACTAAAACGAACAGATCTATTAATAACTAATCTAAATATCTACATTTTTCAATAATTATCTCTTGTTGAATAATCTAGTTTAGGCTATGGATGAAGTAATCTGAATATAACAATAGAATGGTTCTTATATATGTACATGTAATCCGTTCACGAGTAAAATAGATTTTGAGGGGCCATATTTCTATAACATTAAAGGTAACAGAGTCCCCTAAATAGGCTTTCTTTCTCGTGAAACGACTGTATAATATTGATTTTTCTAAACTATGTACGAGGTACGTCTCAATATTTAGGTATAGGAAATTCCTCCAGATAAAGATTTTGCACAAAAAATGAGCTGCCACAGTCAGTGTCCTGTACATTAGTTAATTAATATCACAAATTCCTCTGAACAATGTCACAGCCATTTACCCTCTAATAGATCAGTTAAAGTAAATCAATTATACTCATTAATAAGGTACACTACAGACTTTTATCGTATCTAAAAATCAATTTCGTCAAATGACGTTCTGTACAAATGAAATGACGGTAGAATGAGGGATGAACTTTTATGAAACCAAAAATCATGGTCTACGTAATAAAAACGTGTTGGCCCTGATAAGGGCCGTTCGCATATCTCTCTCTTTCAATCTCCCGCCAGGATTTGTATTCACTTTTTTTGTGAAACTGGCTTCTTCGACGCAGTTTTAGCTCCTTTAGAAGCAGCAGCAGCAGCCTTTTTGGGTTTAGGTGCTTTAGGCTTGGTCGTAGGTGATTTGGTGACTTTCTTAACCTTAGACGGACTTTTTGGTTTGGCAACTCTTGGTGGAGCTTCTTTGGCAGCTTTGCGCTTTTCAGGGACAGCAGTAGCAGTAGCAGCAGGAACGGCTTTTTTAGGAGCAGCAGCCTTCTTGGCGGCCGCTGGCTTCTTAGCCGCTGCACTACTCTTCTTACTAACGTCAGCCTTCTTAGCCACGCTAGCTGCACTGGTCTTTTTGCTAGCAGCAGGTTTCTTCGCAGCAACAGTCTTCTTCGTCGCGACGCTCTTAGCAGCTGGACGTTGCACCTTTGGCTTGGGTGCGTCGGTCTTGGCCGAAGGTAGCTTAAACGATCCTGAAGCACCCTTACCTTTGGTCTGCACTAGCTCACCAGACGCCACAGCAATCTTCAGATATTTCTTGATGAACGATGCGTGCTTCTCGGCGTCAAGCTTGTACGTTGTCGCAACGTATTTCTTGATGGCTTGCAGAGAAGAACCACCACGTTCTTTTAGACTCTTAATGGCGGCATTCACCATTTCCGATGTACGAGGATGATTTGGCTTGGCGCGTGGCTTCTTCGACTTAGCTGATGCTGCTTGCTTTTTTGGCGATGCTGCCTGAACTGCTGAGTTACTTTCCGCTGGTGCGGAAGCCACTACGACCGGAGATGCTGCCTTGTCACCCATTATTGATGATTGATCCTCTTCTTCTTCTTTACGAATACAAAATACTTGCAGTATTGCTTCCTTGCACACGGAGGTTCCGTACGAGACTGATTCTCCAGTGGGTCTGAATGTTGAGTCTTAACATAGGTGGTGCTAGTATGACAGAGCGCGGACCATGGAGAGAGACCCGCTTGCGTTTAACACACCCGGTTTGATGATCGTTCGTGAGTACGGCACTGATCTTATTGTTTAATAATCTTTATTTCATTGTTAGATTACTTTTGGAGACTACGTATCGTTATTGGTGAAAGCTTATGAGTTTCGACTAATCACCAAAAAAGTTTCGAGACCATTGAAAATTGATAAAGGTAAAAAACTTGAGGCAGCGGCGACGCGTGCGCCTCTGCCGCTACCGCGCCTGGATCATCGCAATTATTAATAAAAATCATTCCTTAACAATTGTGTATTAAACTATTGGCATTTTAGGTAGGCCAAGCTTCGTTCTATGTGCTTATCCAATCTTGTTCTCGAGAAGTTTTCTGAAGCTTGGTTATCGTTCAATGAAATGCCGACGGAGGCGAGCAGATTTCATTCAACCCCATTGATAGCGACGTGGCTTTCAGTTATCCTGGACCATTGGTTTCTTGGTGATGATTTTTTATCAGATATACATGGCTTTGTAGGAAATCTTTGTCCTTGGTTAATTATTATTTTTATTTAATTTATTTAAATGTTCGTCGATTCTATGAGGTATCTAACTGGATAGAAGTGGATTGATTTGCTAGTTCCCTATGCAGTGTCTTCGTACGGCTTTAGCAATATTCATCGTAGTTCATATACATTTTTTTTTTTCATTAATTTAATAAGTTTAATTTTTTCTGAATTTGACAATTTGCGGTAATGTATTCAATAGGTTTAAAGGCCAACAGTTCAATGAATCCGATAACGTTTATCTTGCAGGCGTATGAGAAGGTATGTGACATTGATAAGAGATATTTTTTTAACTCGATTACAAATGATCATTTTTTATGTATCAAATTGGTACTAGCTACTTGATATTATTTATTTTTTTATTTTCTATTTCCCATTTTTTTTAATACTACAAGGTTTGGAATAATTGATAGCATGGAATTTAAAGATTTTGGAAGGACATGAATGTTACGTTGTTGGCAGACTGGGTTTTAAGTGTGGTATAAAATTATGAAGGTGAAATTGTTTATAATTTTTATTATGAAATATGTATGAATTTATTACGTAGCCAGAATAATATATGCATGTTATTAACATAACGTTTCGATTATAGTATATCTACAGTCTTCTTTTCGCTTTCATAAAAACTATTAACATAACGTTTCGATTGTAGTATATCTATAGTCTTCTGTTCGCTTTCATATTGTTAATTTTTTGCATCTGATTAAGTATTCATATTTGTAAAAAATTTCTTATATGAAATATTAGTCTATGCTATGTCAATAATTATGGTACAAAGTACACAATTTTTGTTCGTCTGAAACCAAGCTAAGAAACTGATTTTTGACATCTTTTTAATTGTTTCAGGAACTAACAAGGCTTGGAAGAGAAATAACAGGAACTGTAATGTACGTTCTACTTATGGTGTAAATAGTTATAAAATATGTTCCGAACAAGTTGATACTACTGTAAATAAAAAATGACTTTTTCAAAACAATTTCTGCTGTATTAATCTCTTCACAAGTTGTGGTTCTTCCAATAATTTAAAGTACAGATACATTTCTGTGCAAGCATAAATAGCATTGCAGTTTCATTAATTCAGTAACATTTGAGTCTGTTTATGCTTTAGTCTTACAATGGATTTTAAAACGTGGCATAAATTTCAATTGACAGAAACTGAATATATCTCTCAACATGTTATATTAGCCTATCTTTTCTCATTATGCTCTACAAAAACCTTGGCGTCTTTTAAGGTATTTCATGGCGCGTAGTATTGCCTAATTTAATTCATTGAAACAATTGGATTAAAATTAAAAATAATTTATAGGCGGCTATTAAGAATATTGAACAACATTTTTTAAGTACTGCCTCTGAAGAAGATATCCTTGTAAATATTTAGTATAATAAATCTAAGTAAACGAATACCATTCCAAAACGTATAAAAATATTGGGGCCCTGAAAAGGGCCGTTTTGTTTTACGGTTTGTCTGATATTATAGACGTATGTCAAGTCCGATGACTTAACCACCGAAACCATAGAGGGTGCGTCCTTGCCTCTTAAGGGCATAGACTACATCCATAGCAGTAACTGTTTTCCTTTTTGCGTGCTCGGTATAGGTGACAGCATCTCGGATTACGTTTTCAAGGAAGACTTTCAAGACGCCACGAGTTTCTTCGTAAATCAAGCCAGATATACGCTTGACACCACCACGACGAGCCAGACGACGAATGGCAGGCTTGGTGATTCCTTGGATGTTATCTCGAAGAACTTTTCTATGGCGCTTGGCTCCTCCTTTTCCCAATCCCTTTCCTCCCTTTCCACGACCAGTCATGTTTGCTCAGATAGTTTATACAGACGATGTGAACAAAACAGATGACGAAATTCGTTTGAGTAAAAAGGCTCTGAAGCGCCTCGTTATATAGTGTACGGATAGGGGCATCCCCACCATGAGTCCACCAGCCAATAAGAAGCGAGCACTCCCCACTATGACTACACCAGCGAATCAGGAGGAGCGGACATCGAGCTTGGGAATGGAATAAGAGAGCGCACTAAGGCACGCAAATTTCACATTGCATTTAGTCTTCGTGAGATACAGTGAATTATTTTATTTGAGAAATGGCTCGTACCAAGCAGACTGCAAGGAAATCGACTGGCGGGAAGGCTCCAAGAAAGCAACTTGCTACCAAGGCTGCTCGTAAGAGTGCACCGGCTACTGGCGGAGTGAAGAAACCTCATCGCTACAGACCTGGAACTGTCGCCCTGCGTGAAATCCGTAGATACCAGAAAAGCACGGAATTACTGATCCGCAAGTTGCCATTCCAGCGACTTGTTCGTGAAATTGCACAGGACTTCAAGACCGATCTGCGCTTCCAGAGCTCTGCTGTTATGGCACTTCAGGAAGCTAGCGAGGCATACTTGGTAGGATTGTTTGAAGATACCAATTTGTGTGCAATCCATGCCAAACGTGTTACCATCATGCCTAAGGATATTCAACTGGCTCGCCGAATTCGTGGAGAACGTGCTTAAACGCAATACGATTAACATCTTCGTATCAAAAAACGGCCCTTTTCAGGGCCATTAACATGTCATACAAGGATACATTCTAGGTTCATAATATAAAAGTAATGTTAGGCATTTTTTTGAAACAAGTTATTTCTTGATTTATCTAATTTCACATTTACAAGATATTTTTATTACTGAAATTCACAGTATCAGAAACAGGCGTAACAAAATATTAACAATAGTGACTTCATTTCTATCAATAAATGCGACGCGTAATTCTCTTTGAGGTTATATATATATATAATAAGGCGGGAAACTCCAGCCAATCCTCTTGTTCCCAAGCGGCGCTTGAGGTTAGCCAACCAAGAATAAGCATAACAACGCCATCTATTTTAAAACCTGAACAAAGTTGTTGATAACAGAGAGTCCTGTTTTGTTTCATTTCATTAAAAAAAAAGGAATATTACCAACAATCAGTAACTCAATTTTTAATTATTTACAGCCATGAACAGCACCATCAGGAAGTTAGCTGGGGAAAATAAAAATTTATATGTTTATAATGCCTAAAAAATTGCTCCTTATGTTTTCCTAATTGCTCCACTGCTACGATGCAATGATTAATAAATATTCATTAAAACAGAAACATATTTCTTTTATTGAAATTTTAAATGACAAGTAAAATTTTATTTTCTCTTGCAATTAGCTCGATTTCAAACGTGAACAATGTCGTTGGTTTAGGAATACATCTACAACAGCTGCCGTCAACATTGCGAAGTTTCTTTTGTATTTTAAAGGTTGCCGTAATTTTTTAATTCTTCATGCATACTTTGTAACATGATCAGACCGCTACAAATGGTCATACGCGACAAAGTAGTTAATATCATGCTCAGATCTCTTACAGTCCCTACCGCTCGAATCGATTGTAGCAAATTTGGTGCAAAGAGAATTTTTCCATGGACCGAAATGTGAACCGAACTATCTTCTCACATCAATACGGACTTTTGAATCATGGGTTGCAAATTATCAGATTGTCCTTTTACGTCGAACGTCGAAAACGCGATCCACTTTGTTCCAAATGTACTTATATAGCGTGACCAGCTTTCTGAAATTTTGAGGCTACCAGGATTTTCGAATGTTTCTTGGAATACGTCTTTCAGACTCTAATTTCATTTGCTATCCAGTAGTTCGTTTGTCTCATTTATAAAAGTTTCACTTTCATTCTCAGTTTGGTAATCATGATTTATATCCACTGTCTGGTCGCCAATGATGATTGATTCGCGAGCATTTCCATCCGGATTATTATTTGAAGTTGTCATGTCACTCATAATAGAGTACTGCTCAAGTTTCTGATAGAATACAAACACAAACACGAATAATATTGTTTGAGCAAGTGGATGTATGCGTTGCTATGGATACTGTGTCAGTATCAATAATCAAGTGCATATGGTAACCTGATGTACAATTATCTATGGAATTCTTCCCAGACACTCAATTTCATCATGTACTTCTTCACTTTGTATAATGTTGGGACAGCCGTTCGCATAAAAAAAAACTGAAGGAACCACTCTATTGACGAGTTTTGGAAATTGGTATGGTACCTGTAAAAATACATATTACATTAATTTTCAGTAAAATGAAAAAAGGTAGCAATAGAATTCGTTAGTTTATGCCTACAAAGCGTAGTCCCATTTTCTTCAATGAATTTAACTTACCTTTGCTACAATCTTTCCTGTGGCAGCTTTATGGATGAAGTGCCGAATTATATCGGTCTCTTCAAAATGTTTCTCGCAAACTAAATGCGTAGGTTTCAAAAATACACTAGTGTTTGCAATCGCGTCAATCCATTTCTTTTTCAGTTCTTCTTATTTCGGCACATGAAATAAGGAAACTCGTTCCTTATTACTTTCGTATCCGCTCTTACATTTCGACACTATACAGTTTCGAGTCATTTTTACCCAATATTTTTCCTATACAACGTCTAGAACACCGGAAAAAAAACAAAGTTGATAACAAAGGACAGTTGCAACAAGTTCAACAACAGTTGAAAGTGGATGAAAATAAAACCGAGTGATTGCGCATGCGAACAAACAGCCCCTTCGAAACTAACGCCTCACATTTCGAACTGAAATCCGGAGACCCAAAAGACACGACTACGGCGCGAACATTGGGTATGTCAGCAGAAACACCGCTGAGGGAGCAAATACATTTGATTGGTCAAATCTCACAACTGTTTCAAGATTAACGATCAAATGTACTTGTCCCTTCAGCGGTGTTTCTGCTGAACATACCCATTGTCGCTGAGTGCGCAGCTCGTTCAGACGTGTATATACGACCGTGGTCAAAATAAGTGTGCAACTATTTTAAACTGCGTACCAATATACAAAAAAATGTCAATGTTTTCTTCCTACAATGGTAGACCGTTTAAGTTTCGCTTAGTAAACTTACCGTCTGATGTGAGACGGGAGATTAAAAAAATGATTTTGGTAAGGAATATCTTTTACTAGAGACTATTGCGCCTTTTTCATTAAGTAATTTCAAATGTTTTAGATAAGCTATATTTCTAACTGAAATAGATTATGTTCCAAATACGTGACAATAAATGATATTATGTTTAATACGATAAACGTTAAGTGTCGTGTATTTTCGTTATCTTTTTAATTGTACATTTTTTTTAGGACAATGGAGGTGAAGTGGTAAATATTGATGACCGTTCAGTAATCAACTTCACTGTCCCTAATGAATATATTCCTGGGAAGGTCATGTTTGATATTGCATTTATTAAGGATTGCGTGAAGTGGGATGAAATTAGAAATCTTCATGAATACAAGTAAGCTATTGAAAATCTGCTATGCTACTTTCATCCTATTATATATTTGAAAACCTGATATCTAATTTTAGGCTTGGTCCAAGGAAAGAATATGATGGATGTATCATGTCAATATTTTTATATGGAAGTCCATCATGCATGTAGTAAGTGATAATTGATTAAAATTAGTTTTAATTTATCATTATGGTATTTTACATTAAAGTTATTACAGTAGGCATGTCTCTAATTCAAGCCCGCAAATCAACGTATGTTCAGCTTGTGGCTCTAGGTATGTTTCTTGAAGCGATATGAAATTTGTAATATATTTCATCGAATGAATTATTAATATACATGTTTCATGTTCGATATATTTTTTTTTTCAACAGTAATACTACCACAATGCTGGATGTAAGTGATTCACCAGGGCCATCCCAAAACTCTTGTGATACACAGAGAGTGATAACATCAAAAAGATTATACAACAAAGGTAATAGTGATGTGACAAAATGTTTGAAATCTATTGAATGCATCTTCTGTTGATGATAATCAGACATTAAATGAAGATCCACAACCAAATGAGGATTCTACTGCTTCACTTACAGACCCTGAAATTACCTTTGGCGATAAAGCACACCATGATCCAAGACTTCGTAAAGCAGTACCGAGTATATCATATGCAGTGTCCAGCGATGTTTCGGATGTTCAGGAAACTACTACATTTAAGAACGATAAGTTACATTGTAAACAAAATGACAAAAAAGAAACTTCGACTGCATCTACCTCAGACTTTGAAATTAGGTGAAGATAATTTATTTTTCTAAATATATTTTTCCCTATTTTATTTTATTACTAATATTGTGTTTTTTTATATAGTAGCGACGATTCTGAAGCGAAGCCTTATCTTAAGGTCAAGGATCAGAACAAAAATGCATTGCAATGCTCTATGCGGTAAATATGTTGGCTTTCTATGAAAAATTAAGCAACAGTATTTTAAGTTGTATTAATGAATTACATCATTTCTATGATTTTCTAATATCTGTTTTTTAATTAACAGTGAATTGCATATTAATCATGAAGGAAATAGAAGCCCTGTTCAAACAAATGACAATCTTACAGAGTGGTTGATACGCATCAAACGTAAAGCCAAAACTATGGAAGCACCGCGAAAGTAATTATTAAATAACTATATTATCTCCAATTCGTATATAACTGTAATTAATATTTTATTGTAACTGTTACCAGGAGAAATTTTGCAAAATGGGAAAAATGGCAAATGTTGATATTCTTGATTGAAAATGATTTGATTGAACGTGCCAAAGGTGTTGACGTCTGGCAGCACATGATTCGACAAAAGGTAATGTTGTCGACTGATCGATTTATATTCAATATACGATTAAATAGAAATACTTTACATTATTTAAAAATATAATTTTATTTTCAGAACTGGGATCATAGGACAAAGTGGTCATTAAACAATCATTTTCGAAAATCTATACTTCCCTGCATTGAACAGTTTCACGTACCTAAGGAGATAGAAATCAGATTTGTAACTCTCCGAAATACAAAATAAAATCAATTGAATCTTATGTATCTTTTCAAAATTAAATTTCTCTATTTTCGTACTTGTTCTGCTTTCAATTTAGTATGCAACTTGCCAATTACGTCCTGTGTTGCTTGCGTTAATGATAAACTACTGTCACGAGAATAATTAACCGAAACTTCCACTTTCGTCTCACATATTGAAGATGCTTCCTGATACGATGCGTTACCATCTGTTTGTAATTTTTTTAATTTATTTGAGCAATTAGGGAAATACAAGGAGTAATTTTTTAAGCACTATAAACATAAATTTTCATTTTCCACAGGTAACTTCCCGACGGTGTCAACAACGCCGTTATGCGGCTGTTGTATACAAGAGTTAACAATTGCAGGTAAAACAGGTATAACGTTAATCTAGTTGCATGCGATCTGAAATAGATGTCGCTAGTATTCAAGTGCAGTATACACAAAAATACCAAACGTCAAAATTAGCTTTTGTGTTAGGTCGCACTCACAGTGAGTCACACACTAAAGCACTTTTCACGCGTTCTTAGTTTTATGGGTAATAAAAAGAACCAAGACAAAAATATCAAATTTTATTAAAAACTTACGTCGAACAAGAATGAAACCATATCAGCATCAAGGAATCGTACGAATTCAAATGAGTCCATGTAGGGATCGTAAAATTATAAAATACAGAAACTCGATTCAGGCGTCACTCGTCTATCTCACTTATCAACTCCTCAGACCCAGCGCCAACCAAAGCACTTTTCCCCAAATCTCTCGGAAACCCAGCCGCTTTACATATTTAAATCCAACCATTTGTATTGTCTGTCAAGCTCCGCGATCAAACTGGATAGAAGTAATTTAACTTTTAAATGTGAATCGTGTCGTCAGTGTTCTCACGTCAGTTACAGTTATTAGTAAAGGTATCCCTCGAAAACATTAAAAAGGGCTTTTACCGTAAATAGAATACGTAGCCGCGTGAATATCCTCATTAAAAATCATCCCAGCAACCTCATATTCTTTTCTCCTTCTATTGTTCCATCCTCTCAAATCAGTAAGAGGTGACTAAATCCCAAAAAGCTTGATTAGACCGACGCACCGAAGATATACCGAGTTCCGTCGAGAGACCCGTAATCCAATAAGCGTCTGAAAAGCACATTAGCGAAAATTTACTTAGAGTTCGTGCCGAACTACCCGCACACTGCACTTAGCCGCGGTTTCCTTGGCTGGTGTACCGTGGCAAGTAGAGCGATAACTCTGCGTTAGCGGAATTTTATAGGGCCAATTTGCAGAATTGTAAAGCTTCGTCTGGCGTAAGCTTCCTTTTCGTACTTGAGCCGAGTTCGTACCCATACAAACATCCTAGACCCTAGATCTCAGCAAGAGTCCAATAGATGAGGTGGTAGCAGGTCAAGAGGGTAGAGGATGTTGAAAAAGTTTTGACAAAAGGTATCAACACAGTAGACAACTAATTTTTCTCACTATGGTAAAACTGTCTGACGACCTGAAAATTGATCGTGGTTAACCAAACTGTGACCAAGTGGTTGGCAACCCTTATAGGACGGCCAAATGAAAAAATAAGTTAAGGGATGAAACCGAAGGGTAGAAATCCGCGACGGACTCGTCGTTAAAAGAATGCGGATTGCGCCAAATGTATAACGGACGGTGGCCCCAAGGGATGGCACCATCTGCAAATATCCCTACGTCTCGTTCGAGGGCCACGTGTGCCATACAAATTGAATTCTTACAAGTTTCAATGATATGGTAATGCTGAAACAACTTGCCGACCGGACACTTGCTACGATTTCGCACCACTGCCCAGAAAACCATCCCTTATATGGTGTATAGTGTGCGTCACGTGTACGTATATACCGAGGGAGGAGGACACGTATGAAAAAGCAAATACGCATTGAACGTGTATCTTGTCGGCATAGGGAAATTTCCGTGTTATAGTTATCGATCGTATCCTTTGGTGATATTTTTGTAAGAAGGTAATAAAATTGTACCCTTTCCATTTCCATTAGAAACTCTACGAGATATAACGATTTTTATAGACCTTCAGTTATAATGTATGCTAAAATCCTTTTTGAAATTTCCGCCAATCCCTAGCGGATAAATGCAAAAGCGGAACAGCAGCGCCATGGATATAATGGTTATGTTTGAAATTATAATAATACTGTCTTTCTTGGCTTCACGAAATTCCAGATCTATCTTGTATTATATATTACAGCTTTCCGTATATACGCGTATATATTGGCTATATAAAATTCAGTATGTACTATCATAGAAATACCTACCATTCAATATCCAGCCGGATTTATACTGCTCGAAAGTGCCTTCTATTATTCTGTTGCATTGATATAGATACGTTTTATGGTGGCTCCACCTGTCGCCGATATCGTGTATTTTCATTTCGGCTTCGTCTACGCACGTTACGTTCTATGCGACTTGTATTATCTATGCACTATTCACTAACGTCTTCTGACAGTTGTCAAAACCTGGCTCATGCCCCCCCGTTGGGGATACTTTGCCATAAGGAAAGGAAAGGACAGTTGTCAAAATAAAGGTTAGATAATTATTGGACACAATTAATGCATCCAGCAGTAAAATAAGTGTCACAAGACGAATGAACGAGACGACGGGGAAATCTTCTGGTAAAGAATGGTATACAAAGACGTACGATTAATGAATTTCTTTCGTTAGTAATATTCGAAACGAAACGTCAAAATTTCTCACGTACTAAATCTCTCATACGTCGGTGTAATTGGTTTTCGTCGGCACCGGATACATATATAAAGATCCTCGCGTAACGAGGCTACATTTATATGGATAACGGGGCTTAGGCATCTCAAGATCTCATTAGGAAATACAAATCCGCGTGATTGCGCCAGGAGATGGCGGAGGAGTGCCGTACGGGAGCTGCTATTCTCCCGCAAAACGTTTAGCATATTTAACCTTGTAATACGAGCAATACCTACTCCTACTCTACCTCCTCTTTCCTTCTTCAGCACCCCCTGTGCACCCTTCATCTACCAGAGAACCAGCTTCGGATTAAGTGAGGGGCGTCGGCACGCGACCTGATTTATCAAACGTATAAATTTCCTACGAGCTTTATCGTGCCAAACATGTACGCGTACAAGGACGAATTCGCTGAATGGAGTTACGAAGGAGGTTGGTAGTTTGATTTTTTTTAAATACATCAATTTCAAACTAAATCTTTTTAATTTTTAGTATTTTAGACAAAGAACTAGAGGAACTCTCTGGCACGTGTTTATTAATTGTATGCATGGGAGTTAGTAACGTATCTAATTGCGTAAGTGGTACCTTGTTATTGTACTATATATATATCCTGCATTCTATTCTCTACGAATTTACCGAGCGAATGAAATTCATGTTCTGTAATTCCTACAATCTGTCGGGTATTAAATCAAGTCACTGAACGGACCAATAGGTATATGTATTCTATACCTATCTATATATATTATAGGTAGGTAGTTCTATATATATATTAGTTCTCTATCTGTACATATATATATATTGGATTCCACGTACTGATTGGTTGATCCGATAAAATCTCTTGGCGAAATTTATGTGGAAAACAATACTGTCTCCATATGGGATATAAAGTATCCGAGGTCACATCCGCGCCGTTAGAAGCTGACGTTAGCATTTCCGGTATGATTTAACGATTTTTCAAACAAACAAAAATAGGTTATGTTACATCGTCATCAATGATACAAGCAAGTAATTACCCAAGATACAGTCCTGGTAATCAGCAAGCAATTATCTTATCAACGTGGATATCTATGGTGAGGATATAATAAATTTTGTATTTTTTTTTTCTTCAAAATATATCACTTCGAAATTTCACCCTAAATCGTCCGTGAGCATCGATCATGTCGTTCTCGTAAATCTTTATTATTTAAAATCGGCATCTCTCAGTTTCCGTTGGTATAATTCGTGGGACGCCGAGAGACGTATCGGATCCAGTCCCGGGCTTTGATTAGTCAATCCGATAAAATCCGCCATGATATTTATGAGGATGGCAAAATCCGATCGGAACGGGTAACGGGCTTTCTACGTTACACCCATAATACCGTCTGGTATCTGGAATGTTGAGTAGTTATGTAGAGAATCTAATGGAAATAATATAGTTAGAAAAAAATTATTTATATTTTATATCCTTAATATCAGTGATATAAAAAGTATGTACCACGTGACTAATAATAGATGTGTGTTACACGTTAAGGTAAACTTTATATATTTTAATTGATTCTTATTTATCTTTCAGGTATACACGAGTGACTATGGGATCTTCTAAAGAGCGTTAATTAAACAATACGAATTTATCTCACTTATTAAGTCAGGACCGCCGCTCTATGGGTCCTAGGGATCCGGCCATAAATCTTACCAGTTTCCGCAACACAAAACCGCCGGGCAGCTACCTTGGTATGGTTTCTCACGTATCTAAACGTAAACCTCCCGTGACTCTGTCTGGATTCATAATTAATATGCAGCTTAGGAACGTCAAGTTATGGAAGCTCCGCCCATCGCTGTTAATAATACTGTCCTAGGCAGGAGGAGCGTTCATAAAGTAATAATTATTTGTATATGTTTTAGCGGGTGTATAGAAGAAGGAAAAGGAGTGCGAAGGAGGGGATGGATTTATTTTCTTGTCCTTGGCAAGAGATCCATAGTTATTTTAGACACGGGAGAGCATCGGATGATCAGTAAGAGAAAAAATAGCCTCAAGGTTTAAAGGGATGTTTGATGACAGAGAATCGTTGGATGTAAGGGGATGGAGGGTAGAATTAATCAAAGACAACGGATGTAAATCAAAATCCTCCAATCCACTGGTATCGATGGAACCCTACGGCAAGTTGCAGACCACCCCTACCTCTACTCTGTTCATCGACCACTGGACTGCCCTCGGTACTAATTATAGCCACCTTCTCGCACCCCTTGGACACTTGACTGATAATGCAGCCGCTGCATTCTTGATTTTCTGGAAGCACTGGTAATCGCTTTTTAATAATATATACGTTGTATATATACTAATTTTGCTATATGTTTATTACATAAAATAAATAATCAGACTGATCACACGAGGGTTGTTTTGCCCGTTTCTAAAATCTTGACTTGTAATATTTCAGGACTGACTCACTAAAGGCGAAGCCGTAGCGAATCAAGGATCACATCAACAATCCTCCATTTCCCCATGCATATCCATGAGATGCAGATGCAGCGAGCTGTTAATAGTGCAGTCTGACGTTGCATCGGGATATAATGATCTGCATATCTGATTAGGTAGCCAGGACCGCCTCTAGAGCCTAGAGACTGGCTAACTCTCGGCAGTATAATGTATGCGGTGTAGACGCGCATCCCCCGTCTGCCTTTATAATGAGTCAAATCCTCAATGCATCAAGTAGTGCTGAATTAGACAGTACAGTAGCAAGAGTAACATCCTAGCAAGACTTGGTAAGGAACATAGAAGAATTTTACAAGTAAATCAGTCCAGTCCAGTAGGTGAAGTCATGGCATAGTCAGACCACCCCGGTATATCACGCGTTGCATGACAGACCCAGTGGCTACTGGGCTACGCCGAGAAGTGCTACTCGAAGAAGGTGTCCAGGTCCAAGGGGTGGGTAATAGGCAGAGTGGCTCATTGGTCATCATTAGCAAGGCTAAGCCGTTGCCAGTTCTGGAGCCAGAGAGTATCAGCCAGGTCAGTCGTGTATGGAGGGAGATGGGTCATATGTAATGGAGGAGGTTAAAGGAGGATGAGGTTAGGTTAGACTGACTGAAAGAGAGAGAGAGAGAGACAGAGAGGTCAGGCTAGAGAATGAAGGATAGTAGAAAAGAGATGGTGGATATAGTCAGCGACCAGGTGCGTCGCATTCAACTCGGATTATTCTTGAGCTATCACGAGGAATGGGTGGGGGTAGAGAGGGAGGTAGAGAAAGAGGAGAGAGAAAATAAAAAGGAACAAGAGAAAGAAAGGAGAGAAGACCCGGGACGAATGAACGGTTACCTTTGTCCTCGGCTTATCGTCGTGATGAGCACCTCGCGTCTTTTCACCGTAATGTGCTTTTAATGTTTATTAAATTTACGAGCTTTGTGCCTGCTCGCTTGACTGCTTGCTTTTGCCTACCTGGTCGTCTGACTGGATGCTTTCTTTCTTTCCTGGCTACCTAACCTTAGCTGATTATGCTTAACCTAACCTCGAGTCACCTTGTCTCTTAGTTACTCGAATCCCCGTTGTGCGTCTCCACCAACACTCTTTGTCACTATTTTTATCTTGGAATCGTTAAATGCATTTACCTCTGCTCTGACCAACCTTGAACCTTTGCTAGTTCGAGCATCTCGCTCGTTTGGCCTTTTGTTATTGTTGCCGCCACTGTTAATGCAGGGAACGGAGCTGGTGTCGTTAAAATTTTTATTCGCTCTTACATACGAATTTTAAATTTAACTCAAAATACCCCCCCGGCAGGCGTGCACTAGGTCTATTCGAGTAGGCAGATAACAAAACGCAACGGTTTAATCTCAATCAAAACACTCGGGACACGTGGGCTATAAGAATCATCCTGGTGGTATCAGTACCATTAAAACGTGCCGATGTGGCATCGCCACGTGGCCAATGACACTATCAATTTAGCATCAAAGAAAATTTGAATCGCTGTTATACAAGGGTGAGTACAAACATCGTTCAAGAAGGGCGTTACGCTGTCACGCCTTTGGTCACGTGGCGTTCTCTTCCCGTGTAGTGTATATACATACACTGTACCGTAATGTCGCACCCCTATCGTTCCTATCGAGGGTTGGCTTTCGATAGGACACCATTTCATCCCTTGGGATAGCCACCCCCCGCCGTCTACTCTTTTTATACCCGTCTAGCCGCACTCAAAAAATTTTCATGGTCATGTAATTTTTCATCACAGACTTTATACCGACAATCGAGTAATTCACTGGAATTATTTTTTTTTTACAGATACGTGCAAGGGGCGAAAGGGTGGATGGGAGGCTCAAGGGATGACGTCGATAAAGCCTAAATCTACATTTCTTTCTCATTCTAAGACGTTCAATAACTCGTATGTAGACACTTGTCGAACAACTGGCGGCGGCGTCATCAACTATTCCTTGGGAATAAGTTTCCGTAGAGAGGACGTCGGCAGCTGGGCTCCAGGGGTGAGTTCGTTCTACACCCTGGATACTTTATGCACGTGTACCATGTCTGGGACTTGTACGCATATGGATACACACTTGTAACCTTATATGAATTTGTGACCTAGGTGCGGAACTGAGTGTATATTCTATATGGCCAGAGCTTGCCAGGTACACGCGTCTTCTCTTCCATCGTACCTAACCTATATCTACGTAGCAGCTACCTCCACGCCATTTTCCACATGCTACTCGACTCCTGTGCTAATGATTGTTGAATCGCGAGGGAAAGCATTAAAGTCGAGTTTGCTGCGCTGTCGCCGTGTTCATGAGAGCGTTGTGTTTCATTTAAACAACCCTCCGCCCCTAGGTCTTGGGGGCGAAGACGCGAGTTTAAATGATTTTACAAAATTCATGCAACGCACCTTCTGCACGTACCTCTTTTTTTTATGGAAAATTTTGAATTTAACAGTCGGGTTGAGAAATGTTTCTGCTTGACAATTTTCTTACGAAATTATGTAATATATTTTTTGAAATTTTATACAAGACGTATGCCGATGGTATTGATTGACAATTTTCTCATGCTTTTTCATCACTTTATTTAAATTTAGGTTAGGTCACTGATCATCCCTTAGGACGGGTACTAATCGGACTTTATCGGTATAGGATCGTACCGATCCACATGAAAAATGTCCTAACGGGGATTCGAGTGTCGTCAGTTTGACGGGACGATAACGATAACGCAGAGCGACACTCCATTAGGGAGCCGATTTCGCGTTCCGCTTGGCGTCGCGACGCCTGATGTTCAAACGTCTCCTAATGTGTCTGCAATCGGATCGTTACTGGGATGACTGGTAAGAATTACTCGTTTTCTCATCCAGGGATATTTAACGTGACTAAATTCTTGCTAGCTTATCATTTAATTCGATGACTTCCTTATCAGGATCGATTAGGAAATAGAAAATTTTTAAATTAGTTAAATCGTATTTTGAGAAAATATTTATTTGACTATTTTTTTTTCTCTATATCATAATACACTGTTTTATACTATGCTTGACAGATTCATCTCGTTGGATGGCATATGCAGCGTTATCATATCATAATAACATGGACCAAATCAGGTGGCCGTATTTACACGCTCACGATAATTTCATGATTATCATGTAATATGAGGGAGCATCACGAACGCCTGTGACCTAATAGAATCAGGTATATCATGTGTCGATGTTTCATAATAAACCTAATAATAATATGCATATTTAGAAATTATAATTCTCTGGAGAAATTAACATATATGCCTTACAATTCCTTACAGGAGCAACAATACAATATTCCAGGATGGCGGACAGGCTGAAATGAAAAAAAAAATATATATATATACATATACAGGTATGGCTACATATTCAAAGGCATAAAGTCCCATTCCCAAGATCGTAAACTAAGTAGTAAGTGCTTGAATAAGGGCTGCAACCCCCTCCAGTACACCGAAAGTCCTCGCCATTTGCAACGAGCCAATAGCCACTCGTATATATATTTTAATCGAAAAGTTTTTCTCATTTCTCCTGTCAAACTCCCGCTAAGATAATTTAATTTCTGTCCCTTCCAAGCTCCGCTTGAGGACCGAGCCCCATTCCCCTGTAGAAGCCTGGTAGCAAGTTAGTAACCCCCCCAGTACCCTCTTACACAGTCGAGAAGCGTGCCAACTTTTTTCATATTCCAATTAGAATATTTTCCATTGATTTAGAGCCTGCGCGAGTAGGTATTAACGGTTTAATCCAGCAATAAATTTACAGTGTCGATGCCTTGGAGACCCTCTCTCGGCCTGGAAAATCTCTTTGGACCACCACCAGTGCAGGAAGTGCCACCACCGGGAGTTAACGGTACCAGCGCCAACTACCTCTGAGCAGGAGTGGGGGCGCCTGTCAAAAGGCAGGCAGGCAGGCAAGGCAGTGATTTAGGCAGACAAGTAGGCAGGGTGGAAGTCAGGGTAGCCAACCCAGCTACACCGAGGGGTGGCGTGAACGACGAGCGACGTAAGTACTCGAACTGCGTATGCTAAGTTTACGAGTTACGGGAAACTCCAGTAATATTAATCACGGCACTCATCCGAAATCACTCGAAGGCGTATAGCTCGTAAAAATGGCGCCGTACTATTTACGAGTCTTTTCGAACTTGTTTCAGAGGTAGCCGACGGCACTCATCGACAAGCCCCCCTACCGACCGCCTTGAACGACCCTGGTGACACTTGGTGTAAGGGGTAGGATTTTACGTAGTTACCACAATTCATGACTGGCGACCAGTGCGATGCAGTCGAAACGGTCTGGCACTCTTCATCCCCTTTGGATACGTGATGCGAGAAGAATCGAAGATGAAAAAAAGAAGAGACGAGTCGGAGACGGTGACACTGATTTTCTTGAGAATAAGTATTAAAGGCAGTGTGGGGGAGGTGGTTCATTTTTTCATTTTTTTTATTCACCCCCAATAGGAAAAACAGGGGTGGCTTCTAGACGATTCCAAAGAACTCAAGGACTTGGAATGAAGACGAAACGAAGGAACATAACGATGGGGCCTGATAGTAACAGTCAGGTTAGACGGATAGACAGAGGGGATGCTGGGGACTGATATTAAGATGAGATGAGCTGTACCTATATATATATATATATATATATATATATATGCGTATATACAGAAGTCAGATAAAAATGAATGAGAATGATATTGCCGTGGGGTTGGGTACCAAGGAAAAGGGGTTCGAAGGGCGAAGGGGGAAGAGAGAGTGAAGGAAAGAAGGAAGGCAGAAATGGGAGGAAAGTTGGCGGCGCGATGAGGAGGACAGCGTTAGGGGTTGGTTGGTCCTGGCCTATAGGGCGGAATGGAAGACGGAAGATAAACATGGCCGGATAGCAAATGTAGGAGCGATAAAACGATATGAAAATCCTACAGGCAGATATAAAAGTGTTGTTCGGGCGCTCCCTTCCTCGCAATCGCACTCACAATCACCGCTCCTGCTCTTCTACGGTTCTACATTATTACCCGGGACCACCACCCCTTACGTACTCATCCCTTTCTACTCTCTTGTTTTCTCTATATCTTACCGACCGAGACTCTTCCTGCCATTCTGGTCTTCATCTTCCTGTTTCCTTGCTCTCTATTGAATATTCAGTTTTAGAAATTTTGTACCGACAACCTGAAAATATTTTGAGAAAAAAAAGTGAAGATTCAAATAACAATCGATTTCGATTATCAACAGATGTCAGAATTATGCTGGAAAATTAATTAGTGTCAAAACCGGAAGTCGTACTGGTATCCCACAAAGAGCGTCGTGTTGGGGTTATTACGTCGCTCTACATCAAGAAAGGGGTAGGCATTTTGATATTTGACGAGATTGCGGTTCGTAGTGGCGTACGAAACGACGGTTGCCCACAGCTCGGGTTGCCATCTATCGCGTTTTATTGGTTTTACAATAAAAAAACGCAGGTATAATAATGCCGAATGTTTTTCCATTTTCCGTGTATGATGTAGTTTCGACGCCATCTTGGAATCCTACACAACAGTCCTACCACCTACTGGAAGTACGATTTTCTACGTGCGTACCGCGCATACCTATACCCCATACATAAATAAGGCGGTAGTACTGTGGGATGTCGGCTAGTAGCAGTAAATCCCGCGGGTGGCGCCCTCGTGGTCGAGGCATAAAAATGTCGCAGGACGATATCTACACCGATAGGATCACCGCCGATTGTTGCCGGATTGCCTTTCTCTATTTGCCTCCCGCCACTTCCCCGTTAAACCTATGCGCACACCAAACCCAACCTAACCTGACGTCTCACGTGGTCTCTTCGTTGACGGGTAAAATTTGATTTTTTTTCCAATATGAAAATTCTGTAAAATTTTATCTTTTTTCATCTCAAAATACATTTTCCCTCTTTAACAGGTCTGAAACGTCAAGGACTGTATGGTGGACTCGATATCATCTAGCAGAAACATCCCTACGCTACAAAGTGACTACCCTGGACTTGGTCCTACATAGGGGATGATGTCCCACAGCTCTGGGTGACACATCGTCCGTGTGATGCGCATCGAATATAAAAATACACTATCACTTACGGGAAGACATCAGGGACAAAGAACTACCCTTATTTCGACATGTGTGCACCTATGTACACACGGATTGAACACCCTCCCGTAAGGGATACGTGGTCCAGCGAGCACGTGACGTAGAGACAATTCACTGAAGTGACGTACGAACTTTGGTAAAGTCACACTTACACGTGACTCTCACTCGTTTTACCTCGGCTTTGTTCGTGAATCTTCGTGGATACTCGACTTTATTTGTACCCATAGCTTTCACATGTGGCGATTGTGTGTACAATGACAAGTGAATTAATAGAATCGATTCGCACCGGTTTTTCGTATAATCTGATTAAACAGAACGTGTCGTTCGATCGTGAAAAACATAATGAAACTTTATCAGTAAATTTACAATGTTATCGAATCCTGTTTTATTAATATATTAAATCCAACAGGAATCTAAATTCAATAATTTTGTATTTTTTAAAAATTCGCCAAAATTCAATAATTCATTGATTACCCCAGACAGTTTCTGCGTAACGCGTCGATATATCAACGCACAAGTATCATCCCTCAGGAAAAATGAGTGCGTAGCGCCGAGTAGACAGTTGGCGAAAGTAAAACGTATAGGAAGGAAAGTCGAGTGTTCATTCGAAGAGTGGTTGTTGTAGGGATGTGTATAAAGAAGGGTAGTGGGGCTGCTCCCTTTACGCGGAAACTTAATCATAACAGCCTGTTAGCTAAATGAATAGCCGTTAGGGCGGCGGTAGTGGTGGCTGGGGTGTGGATGGGGCACTAGTTTGTAACTATTGCTTGAATTCGTATCCCTCCCCATGTCGTTACGCTCGGTAGCATCATCCCCTGTTGAGAAAGGAAAGGCACCCTTATTAAATTAATCCATCGTTTACTAAATTGATTCCAAGTCTCCTTCGACTGGGTGGATCGGTTAGCGAGACTTGTGCACTGTAGCACAATTTACTATAGTAGGACGTACTTAATTCTTGATACAATTTTACCGTAGTGCTAATAGACTTACTATACTTTATCATACGTATATATATCCATACTGCGTTCCAATGTAAACAGATACTAATTGCTACAGTAAAATCAAAACGTAAGGTATTATCTAGGACAGACCATAGTGGAATCCTCACTTAGTTATCTGTCGTACGACATGAGGGTCCCTCCCAAATGGGGGGGTGGATCTCCTCGAGCCAATCTTTTATCCCTCCGGTTCGGCTTTTATCCTCGACTTATTGAAAAGCCAACCCTCTCGAGTGGATCGCGATTGTTTCGTTTCCGGCAATCCCAGCCGAGGAGCGATCTCACAGAATTGAAAGACGGTCCGGTATTTCGATAAAAGTGGAGGAGAACGACGGTACCACTGTGTATAGGGGGTAGGAAGCCAGGGTAGCAACCCCCTATAAGAAAGACAGAGTTGGCGCCGTGGTTCTACCGCCATAATCGGATCGACGACGACTGCTGAGCGTCCCGACGCTTCGAGAGGAAATTCAATCAGAGGTCCCGGCGACGCCGTCGTCGGGGGGTTGGTTTCCTGCCTCTTAAATACGAGGGTGGATCGAAAAGTAACGGGGATTGCTTACGCGAGGGGTGTTATTGACGAACGGGGAAAGGTCTGTGGAGAAAACGAGAAAGTACCCTTGGGCCGATGGAGGGGGATGAAGATTGGTGAAAGAAAAAAAAAGAAAGAAATTGGGGGTGGTAGGAGAGAAGAAGAGAATGAAGGGGTGAACGATAGAAAGTTAAACGGACACGTCTCCCCTTACAATATTGTATTGGCCATTTATTAAATTCAGAGATATTTATATTACACAAGCGGTAGATAACATGTATGTATAATTTATACAGTGCTTTATACAAGGATGGTTCTCTACTTATAGCTAACGGGGCTTAGTCTAGCGTTTACTGTACAATGATTAATAGATACTCCTCTGTGGGGCTTGTAAATTAATATAGGTTACGCTGCTGAGTTTAAACTGTCTAGTGCAATGATTTTGCATCCCTTGGGTCCATTCCCTATGTCGCCCTGTTCGATTTGCTTTATCGAAAATCACGTATGAATTCATCGTCTCGATTGATTGAAAAAAAAAGAAAATATCTAACGAATCGTATTATTCCTTGCTGATCGAATCGAGTGGATGAATTCTTTTTTATTTTTATTTTTTTCTCTATACATCCGTTTCTCAATGCGCGCCTCCGCCCACGATCTTTTATATCCCGTATCTGACGTACGGGATACGCGTAAAATTTTTCTTTAATTAATTGTCAATTAAGATTTATCGAGATCAGTTATAATTCCGCGTCAATGGACTTCGCCTGGCTAGTCGTCAATTTTAAACGCCAAATATCACATTCACGTTAATCATGTTATCTACAGAATATACAAGACATCACCCCTTGGTTATGTCCAACCAGTTACTCTCACTGAGATCATCGTGTCTCCATTGATCATCCCTTACAAAGATACGTATCAACTTCCCTCCTTACTCTCGCCCTAGGTAGACACCGACCCAGGTCTCTTGTACCTCGTACTCATTGTCAGTGAGTGATCCCAGCGAGCGCAGAGCGTCTCGACGCCATTAATATCATGATTAACCCTAAAGCCGATAGAGGAGCTCCATTGGTAGCAGCCCCGCAAAGTGTTTTAGGGGGCGGATGATTCTCTCGGAGTAAAATCAGCCGCGATGACGTCCTTCCGGTTCCCACGTCGAACTGAGCACCCTGAACGAGCGGTGGTCTCGGAGGGTTGGTTAATGGTGGGACGACGTAGAGTCGGATGGTCCGACGTGTGGGGATGATTGTTCACGAGCCAAGAGAGGGATGAATTTCCAACCCTTAAGCGCCGCCCATGGCTATACCCGCCAGTACGGTGGCCACGCCTTTTCAACCCCTCGCAGATTCTCAACAGCCTTCATCCCCATCACGGCCCGTACTGCTGCTCCAGCTCTCTTCTGAGTCTCTTCGCGGCCGTCTCCCCGTTACCCTCGGTCTCGGCGTCGCTGCAACCCTCTTCGCCTTCCGCCACGACACCCTCGACCTCCTCCTGACGCCTCTTCGCCGTCGCCATCTCGGCCGCGTGCTTCTTTCGCCACTTTGTCCGTCTGTTCTGGAACCACACCTGAGAACAAACGTTAACAATTTATTGTGGAACAACGCCGAAAACTAAAAGTAACCCCTAATTTTTTTTATACTGAGCTCATTTTTAAAAAATCGCAATTTTTACTCTAAAAAATTACTCATTTTTTTAATTCCCCCCTAAAGCACGTCACGTCCCTCAGTCCCAAGCATACGAATTCAACCCCTAGGAAAGAACTTGTTCGCCTGCAATCGCGTGCCAATCTGAGATACAAGAGTTTTTAAGGCTGAGAATATATGAAAGAGGTTAGGTCTGCTTGAGAATAGCGTGCAAGAGGGTAGTTTACTGTATTTCTAGATATAAGATAGAAGGTCGGGCAGGTAGCGTTACGTTGAAAACGGGTCTCACTTAAGGTGCCTCTCCGCACCTATAAAGCTCCAAGTACATAGTGGGAGTCTGTGTCCCCGCAACAATGTATTTAATTAACGTAACGGGCGCCAGGGGAGCACGGGGCGCCACCGTAGCGATTGCACCCGCAAACCACCCCCTATTCCTCGAGCCCCTGACGAAGCTATACTCGCTACTCGCTCTAGGACCACAACCACCCCCTCGCGCTACACCCTGTCAGTAAAGCCAGAAACCCCCCCCCCTTCCACCCTCCGCACCGGTGGTGGCTTCCAGGCGCGCTCAATGGCCGCCAAGTCGACGAGGTTAAATTAAAAATATAAGCGCCCGGAGGGGGTAGGAGGGGGCGCGAGACGCTAAACGGATTAAAAAGTAAACGCCTCTCGTAAAAGTTAATGGCTGCTCGGTTGAAAATTAAAGGAGCCCACGAGATAAGATGTCGTCCTCGGCAATCTCCATTACTTATTGCGAAAAGGGTATTGCCAAGCTTAAAAAAGAAAATAACAATGCATTGTTACTCGTTAAAAAAAATATATCAACAATGCAATTGAATGTCGATAATAAATAATTAATATGTACTTTCATCGTCAACCCTTATTTCCTTTGTTTACTTTATACCAACAAAAAAAAATTACCCCTTCTCACGGCGTAGGCGAGCTACTTGCTTTTGTGCTGTGTCGATGGCAAGGGGTTGTATAAGGGATGTTAGTAATTGAAACAGTGGTAGTGGGGTAGTATCGCGGTAGAAAACCGGATATATCGACCCCCGATATTAGCTGAACTGGGCCACAAATCTCGATGGCCGACAATTCCCGAGTTGGTTTCTTGTTCTTGACAAGGGGTAGTCGCGCCAGCCCCCCCCCCCCTATCCCAATCGAAAGAAGAAAAACACCCCACGAAACCAAATCCTTATCGGAGTTCTTTTTTTCATTAAATCAACCCTGTTCGATACGATTTACAGAATTGCATTTGGTATTTTTTTTTTTTCTTTTTCAAGGCGGATTAGTCACGCACGCGGTACCAAGGGTGGTTTTTCTGTGTCGAACACCCCCAGCCCATACTTAAACGCCACGTCGTTCGCTGATGCTACCGTCGCTGCACATGTCTCCCAACTGTTAGATTTATTAAATCTAGATTACTCGAACCCGTTTTCATTGTCCTCTAAAGCCAAGGATAAAACCGCAGTTATTGCTCGAAGCGTTTTTTTATCCCCCCCCGGCCCCCGTCCCCTCACCGACGCCCGCCAACAAGGGTCACCACTGTCGCTACGTACCACCGCCATTTCCAGCAGCCATCGCCTCCTACGATCCTATCGGCTGATCCTTTCGATTGTTGCGGGCAATTTGTTACGAGCAATCCCCGTTGTCCATATAAACCAGGGGAACAAGTCGACTCGGACTTTAATATCATTATAAATTACCAAGGGACAAAAACCGCAGGAACGTCAAGGCGACAAACCCCTTGACCCCTTTGTCGATCGTTTAAATTATCGTTTGAGGTCTGACGTCGGACGTACATAACCTACAAATCCACTGTATCGTATTAACCTGCACGAAACAAGTGCCCGACGTCTTTCGGATTTGAGGTTAGATTCTCGTATGCACGGTGATGCATGACGGGAATGACTTCTCGTACGAGGAATAAACGCGGGAGATTTGAATTCATTGAAATCTAAAGTAAGTGTTGCAGAAAGGACGTGAAACTTTTGTGGAATGTTTCATGATCCGTGGAGAGTGACAAGTGTGACGTGTGCACTTTAAACTCTTCCAGGTCGTTAACCTCACTTTTACACTATACGAGGGACGTAATCGTATGTATTTCTGTATATGTATATATATATAGACATACAAGTGTGTACATAGGTGACGCAATAAATTTCAAACTTTTACTCGTGAACTGGTCGCGATACACAAGTTCCGCAATTTTTGTCAGGGGTTGGTGGTTCCAAGGTTCGGATGAGGGGTAGAGGGGTGTAATGACGTTCCCCGGAAGAGGGGGTCCCGGGCATTTTGTTTTCGCTGCCGAGAATCTTGATCGCCAGCGCCACTAGCGGACAAATGGTGAAACGACGAGAGAGAAACAAGTCTGGTGCTTTTCTCTCGTGTTCTATGAGTCT